CAAAGTTCTGTTGGAAAGTTAAAAATGCCTGTAATTCCCAAAGTGAAAACAATAATGAACATGATAACTAATTACAAAACATATGGGAAGTAGTAGTAAATTACATTACTTTTTATGTGTTGATATAATATGTTACAACTATGTCTTCCCACAGTCATTTTCTACACTTTGTTCATACGACAAACGCTTTATATCAAAATGTATGTATAAGACAAAAATAGTTGTTAAGTTGCTTATTGTTTGTTTACATAAATTTGCTTTGTCAACTATGTCAACTTTAGTATTGTTCTTGGCATTTAAAATAATAGGAATATAATACTATATGTTTCTATTTACCTTCCTATGCATCATACAATGAGCGAACATCAGCTTCCACTGACCATCACAAACCCACAACCTTCCACAGCCTGTCATTTGATGGAATGAAAATACAATTTTATTAAAAAACATTGTGAAAACTAGATAACAGAGAAGACGTCTGAAATTCAGGTACCTGTATTCTGTATTTAGTAAAAAATTACATGTGTACACGCGCCATTCTTGCTATTATGTAGCCTCTTGCGTGTGATAAAGCCCTAAGAGTGTCTGTAGGGGAGGCTAGCCATTATCAAAATGACTCAATCACACGGTTGTTGTAGATTCCACAACTCTTTAGGATTCCAAGAAGGCAATTAATAAAAGATTTGCAGCTATAAGTTGGGTGAGTTGAGGATTATATGAGAAATTCCAAAAACAATCCTTTCATTGTCAGTTTCATCAGTTGATTAAAGCATTACCTTTCCAGGGGACTTTGTCTTATTAATTTCCCCCACCCCTGGAGGAAACCCGGAACTTTGTTCCACTCATTTTACAATCCCCCTGGTTGGCCCAGGCGTCTAACCCTAGGGCAAGCTGATGACATTTCCTTAATAAGTAAACAATAGTAGGCCATGTTGAGATATGGGAATAGAGAATCTGACAATGGTTCCAGGAAATAACTATCTGTAAGAACGGTCCTTACCACGTGCTTTGCAAGCATCGGAACAGTCATCTTCTGAATGACTGTAGACAGACTTGCCACGTCTCTTGTCCACCTCTTCCATAACCTTCTCTCGACTATCATTTTCTTTTAGAAGTCCAAAAAAGTCGAGGTTACCCAGCTCTCTCAGCTCAGACTCCAATTCCCCATTCCAAAATGCAGAACTGCACTGTTTTTCTCCATAGCCTAGAAAACCACAAAATAAATAAATTAGCAACTGATAAAAACTTTTGTACCAGTAGCTATTCGAGCCAGTCATTCATAATATTTTTTGGAAGAAACAACAGCGAATTTGAAGAAAGTACGTATTCAAAATACATGTGCATAATACAAATAATATTAATACCTCCCACCACTGAAAGCAGGTGGAACACCTCATTGTAGGCTGTTGAGAAGCCAGAAAAGCTGACCCAACTGTGGTTTCTATAGTTAAAAAAAAATAAAGTTATAGGATTAAGGTTATTATGATTAACAAGGATAAAATAATTTCTGTGACCAATACCCTGGGATCAAGCCCTCTGAGTCTCCCTTTTCCTCTACAATCTCAAGCCAAAGAAGCAAACAAGAAAATAACCTAAGGTTATGTGACCAGTTGAATACTGATTGTGGTGCATTAACAACCAGATTGCTGCAAATGTAACCAAAGATCAGAACAAATTCACATAAAAACAACGATCAAAATAAAAGACTCACGCCAAAGCACATTGCCATTCTAACAGCTTCCGGTCGACAAAGCATACGTCGGTTGCCTCAACCAAAGGCCGCATCTCATCATAAAGCCGCCAACCCCTTGAACGGTTACCGTACTTATCATAATTAAAGTTTAACTTGCAATGATCACATCGCAAGCTAAACTTCAGGCCGGCCTTTTTTCCCACAAGCGTCAACACTTGAACATCACAGGGCTTGTTGTGATCGATAAGTCGGTGACTGCAGTCAGGGCAAGTGCCGACAGGCGGAGTTAGGAGGACAGGGAAGCCATTGTTCTCCGTTTCTAAATTTCTCTTCCCGGCGACAGCAACAGCCTCATACAGGAAAGTACCCTAGTATAAATGAAGAGAGCATTAATGGCAAATGTATAGGCCTTGCCACGGTTTTCGACAACATCTTGACGCGTAGGCAAACGTGTGAGAAATGACAGTGTTTGTATGAGAATGTACTGTCAAATAATAGACCTATTCGGCTAACTAAATGTTGTACCCAATTCAAACCCTTTGGGGATAAAAAGTTTTGTTTCAGGAATTTCCATATCATGTAAATGTGAATGCAACATTATAATGCAAATACAGAACACAAAGAATCTTTTTAAGAAGTTTTTTTAATGTCTGTAAATTTTCCCGGGAATTTCTTAAGGACGAATGAATAAGAAAATTCAAAAACGTGGTTTGAAGTCTTCTAGCGCATGGAATGCCCTCAATTTCTTTTCAGTGTAATCCTTAGGAGTGAAGATTTAGTTTACAATGCATATTTTTTCAGAACAGCCGTTTTACGGAAATTATTCAACAATAGATTCTCACACAAACACTGTTATTTCTCACACGTTTGCCTACTCGTCAATGATATACGAAAAATGAAAGGTACTGCAAACCTAGCAAAAACTCTGGTTTTGGCGAGCTGAAGGCATACATACAAGCTTCTCTTTTAAGCCTTCAATTTTATATTATTTCACAAATCCAAAGAATACTGCTCACCTCGTCCAACGAGATACCTGCTACCGTCGCCATTGCTTCCAAACGACGCGTCGGTGGGAGTACCGCAAGCTCAGTGATGGAGTTGGTGACAAATGAGACGGCGTTTGCCTCATACTTTGAAGTAACATAGAGCCACAAAACCTTTGGCGGTAGGAGTCTGATGGAATCTGTCTTTAACTCCGTGGACATCAGCTGACGGAAAGCTTCCAAAATTGCTCCTTCAGCATTTAAAGATTGCGTCGCTTCCTCGCGAATTTCTGAAACAAAGGCTTCGGCGTTGAGACGCTTCCTTCCTCTGCCTTTTGGAGGCATTACTGACACGAGCTGGGTAAATTTACAAAAACTAACCTACTTAATAGATATTTGCAAGATTATATATACAAAAAGTTATTTACAAGGTGATATACTGTTATTATACAAGGACTTTCGATACAGAAACCGTCAGGGGATGCTTGCACGAGAACATTCGACACTGAAGACGTGAGACATAGGCCTGAGGCATGCCTGCAGGATCATGTGACAATTATTACGTTAATTTTTAAAAAACAGTCAGCCTGCGAAAGCATCCGTTCGCCGCTGGAAACGTCCCCAGCGGCGAAGAGCGAAGGATAAAAGGATGCTTTCGCTGGCTGAAAAATTGTAAAACTGACCCTGTTGCCTTCTTCAGGGCATGACGTAGTTGACGTACCCCCGTTTCCAGCGTCTTTCCCTTATCATTTGTGTGAAAAAATGGGAAATCTCACTTTGAAATGAAATGGGAGGGTCCTTTTTTGGGAAAAGGCAACCTCCAGAGAGTAAACACTGTGGTTGAGAATGATACAGCTTGGACCGGGGCGACTCTTGTTGTTTTTAAAGAAATTATCGGTACAAGTTTCACTTATGAACGCCTTCCCAGAAAATTGCGGTCGCATCAGGTCAGGCGTACCCCTCTTATCACATTAATATAACCTTTTGACCTGTCCCTGTCACAGGTCAAAATGACTGTGCCTACCACATCCACTATCAGCCTTGAATAAGCGCCCACCTCAATTATGAGCCCAATATCAAGGTCTAAAAATTTAATAAGCGCCAAGGGCGATTAATCGAATACATACGGTATTTACTTTTATTGTTAACTTACATTATTTTACGGTTTGAATTAATTTTTTTTTCAATGTTAAATGAGCTATTTATCAGCATTGAAATTGAAATTATATTTGTAACTAACAACAGGGCGGTTTCTAGTGTGGGTCTAGGGTCCTGTTTGTCATTTCCCTTTTGGGGATCAGCAAAGGTTTTTAATTATAATTATAATTAATTATTCTTGTAAGTATAATTGATTACTTTCATTTCTTTAACAATAATATGTCTTCTTGTGATTGCATATTTGACCCCAATAAAGTGTAAATAAAAAATAGTCCCCTTCGTAGCCGTTTTGAGGCTTAAAACGGCTGCGAAGGAGTCTAATTTATGAATTGGTTATTTGAAAAATGAATCCTTTAGAGGTGTTTGTTTTTTATAGCGTCGCCTCTGCAGCATGCTTAATGAGCAGTCATCCAATTTTTGCTGCGCAGGCCCTGCGTTGAGAACACTTCTTCACTTCTTGGCGTTTCCTGTTCCGTTTATTGCTATCTCTCTTATTTTAGGTTGTTAATGGGCACGAGTTTTTTATTAGATAATCATGTTTATCTTGGTGGAAAATGTCCAATGGACTACTTAATACAGGGTTTGCGACATCCTCGGAGATCCAGGGGCAGTTAGTCAGGACGATAGACTGTTCGTGGTGAAAGGAAAGATAAGGACGATGCGTACAATTAGCAAGGATAAGGGTGATATGTTCATGGACACATTGTATCGGCGGCTCATTTGTATATTTTTGAGCCAAGGTGAGCTTATTTTGTTTTGTGTACAATAAATAATTGTTTTTTTTCTGACAGGAGAATTCTCATTATAGGAGACTTGTATTGATTTCCATGTTTTAAAATTCCTGTGTATACAGGTCAACGAGACCAGCACTACTTGTATAGTCATTAACTCCTTATAGAATCCTCTGTGCTATGTCTTTTGCCCCCTTCAAGTACTGGTACTTAATTTATTAATTGACACCATCACAAGTCACTTGGTAGTGGTCAAACACGTTTTAATTGCATTTTGTAAGAGTTGAGTTTTTTTTAATATGTACATGATAACTATTATTCATTTTTATTTACAAACTGACTGTCGAATCAATACAATATTTTTTTGGGAAGATTTTTTTTCTGTGTGATTTGTGGTTTCGCATGCTTGCAATCCTTGTTCTTTTTAGATGACCACTAAACATTGCCATTAGTTAAGTTCGCAGTCTTTCCTTGCAGAGAGGGCAGAACCTGAAAAGTACAAGGCAAGAGATTATTTAATTTGTTTTAGAGGCAAACTGTTTCCCTTTCTCTCAGAGCTAAGATGGCATGTTCAATGGTTGGCTTAGAGGGCAAACGAATTTGAGTGTCAAGAGAAGCTGCAAAACATATGAAATTTTCTTTACTTTCAATCATAACTATTTTTATCACACCCACATATTTTCATGTAAAAATGATTATGTATCTGCTTTTATTTCACATGGTTGGAATTGGCCAATTCTTTACAATTAGTTTTGACGAAAAAAAGGAGTGTCCGTCTGCTATTTTCTTTACAGTAATATATTAAATTGTTTTCTTTCAATTAATGGATACTACTGATTGTCATAATTTTAGGACCTTTGCTTACCCAACTCAAAAAACCGCTAGCTTAATTTTCTCTTAAAAATTATATTTAATATTGACCTTCCTAGCCTAGAGTCAATTACACTTGAATAGTTGCAAATTTAAACTAACCATGGATTTTCTTCTGGCACTTCTTCCAGGTTAAGGCATTGCAAGTGATAATAGCGATTTCCTGGACACTGAAAATATATCATATTAAGCGTGTATTAAAACTTGTCAATAATCTTTTTGCATCACATTAATTACATGTTGTTGACATAGTTAATGCACATTAGAATTTAAAATTTTCCAAGGGTTAAAGATTTAATTAGTTATCTGTAATAACACCAAAGAAATTTCAAATTTCACAAGATTTGTGAAAACATTTTGTGAAATTTTCATGAGTAAGATGTAAGTTTTTTAAAGTTGACATTCACTTTCTAGGTCTCCCAGAAAAAATTTTCTTAAAAAATGTAAAAAGGTCGATGCAATATGCGTTAAATTAACATTAAAATTGAAATTATACCCACTTTCCTCGTGGATTCTGTCTTGGTTTGTTATTCATCAACTAATGAGCTAGTTCTTAAAATTACTTATGCTTATTTCAACTTAAAATGATACTTCTTGAACAAAAAATCTGTACATAAATGTTTGCGGAAAATCTACTTTAAGTAATTACCTTGGTTTCTTTTTTTCGTTTTCTGTTCTCGCATACAATCATGTTGTCTTCCTCAGGTTTTGATTTCTCCTGTTGGAAAATAAAATTATCCTGTTAGAAAATAAAAAGAGTGTTACGAGCTATATGACAGGTTTATATATACATGGATTATTCCTATTGGTGCACCGAGATGGCAGGGCATGGAAAAGACTGCTCATGGGATTGACACCTTGGCCTTAAGTCATAGTTTTTTCAATCAAGAAATGTCTACATATTAACTTAAGACTGCTCTGGTAGGACTTACCATTTTGCAAAAACAGAACTTGTAATCAGTACCATCTTCTATACATAAAAATAAAAAGGAATCATAAAGTAAATGATGGATCACATCAAATGACACAACTTGATTATTGTACCACATGTACCATGGTTCAGTGCAATGTATCAAACATCATAATATTTAGAAGCGAATTCAGCCTTGCATACTGGCATTGCACTGATACTTCATAACGAGTTATGGTCAACAAGACTGTTGGTGGCAAACTAATAACACGGTTTCCTGGGTTTCCACTAAAATGTCGAGGCAACAGACAATCCATAATTATTGGAATAGCACACTTAACCCCTGTCACTAACTACAGTAGTCCAAGATGGAGGCACAATGAAGTATTTTTTTTATGTATTGAGAAGTGATGTATTTTATTTTATTTTATTTTTTTGTATACCGGCCATCATTCCAAAAAAACATCACTTCAAATACAAATAATAATAATAATAATAATAAGTAGAGATGTAAATACCTGCCGCTACTTTTCTTTTTTTAGCATGTGCCTTAACTGTATGTGTTGACATTTTTCCTGGCTGCAGTACAGTCCCGGCTACATCTTTAGTGGTGGGAATGAAAATGAGATTATTATGTTAATCTATTGTGCAGGCTGCACAATCTGGCATAATAAATAAGTTCTACTAATACTTACTTTAAATAATAGTGGAAACCATTGTGGCAAGGAGACAGTAGTATCATTAGATAAAATGTTAAATCTGGATATCTTCGTAAACGAACCGCCTTATAATTTAATGATTACAAGGCAAAGCAAACTAAAACTAATACTTTTCAAGGACAAAATTGCAGCTTCATGTCACCATTTATGTCTCCCAGACAACAACTGGCTGGTAATTATTCATTAATTCATTGCAATTGGTCTCACCTTCCAGCTGAGTTTGTTCATTTTTTTTTACATGCTATGTTATCTACATATTTTTTTTAGTGCTGTTGAATGGTAATGCCTTATTATCCTTTAAACTTAAGTATCTATTATCAAATTCTAGACTGCCTTGTTTACAACACCCAGGAAAAAAGTGCAAGCTAACATGACAGGAGATAACTGGTTGATTTCCAATGCACCTGATGCAAGTTCTAGCTACCTGATGTTCTTCTCTTTTTTCTGTTCGTCTTTTTGTTATTTTCCTTTGATTGACCTCCACATACAGTTCTCTTTAGATCTTCCTCATTGATTGGATCACATTCCACTGGTGGACATCAAAATAAGATTTCATGCATTTAATATCTGAACAATGTAAAAGTCAGTGAAATTCAAGATATCTCAGAAGCTTAAGGTAATATAAGTTTTAAATGTCTTTGTTCAGTGAAAACTGTAATTATATATTTGCGGTTGAAATGTCTCTACAAAGCAACTATTATTCTGTTTGTTTTCCTTTTGAGATTAATAATAGCTGACAACGTTTGTCTCATGCATCAGTAAGTTCACTTTTATTTTTTGGTCCTCACCCACTGCAGATGGAAACTATTGTTCTCATTTATACAGTAACATTATTAATCATTGCACAACATTTTTGATCTTGAAAAGAGATTAATAAAAATTTTCATAAAAGTACGTATCAAATATTTGATTTAACTCACCAACTAATAATCCAATACCACTATCATTTAATCCTGGTGAAAGTGGTGGTGGCACTGTAGCAGGAGGTGACACTGCTGCAGGTGGTGTTGCTGTAACTGGCGGTGGAACCATAGTTTGTGCTGATGCTGTGGCAGGAGATGACATTGCTGTGGGTGGTGTCACTGTAACTGGTGGTGATAGCGTAGTTAGTGCTGACAGTGTAGCAGGAGATGACACAGTTGTGGGGGATGTCACCATAACTGGTGGTGATACCATTGCTGTTGGTGATAATGTTGTGGCTGGTGTCACTGCAACTGGTGGTGATAGCATACTTAGTGCTGACCGTGTAGCAGGAGGTGACACAGTTGTGGGTGGTGTCACTGTAACTGGTGGTGATACTGTTGTGGGTTGTGTCACCATAAAAACTGGTGGTGATACTGTTGTGGGTGGTGTCACTGTAACTGGTGGTGATAGCGTACTTAGTGCTGACAGTGTAGCAGGAGATGACACAGTTGTGGGTTGTGTCACCATAAAAACTGGTGGTGATACTGTTGTGGCTGGTGTCACTGTAACTGGTGGTGATAGCGTATTTAGAGCTGACAGTGTAGCGGGAGGTGACACAGTTGTGGGTGGTGTCACCATAAAAACTGGTGGTGATACTGTTGTGGCTGGTGTCACTGTAACTGGTGGTGATAGCGTATTTAGAGCTGACAGTGTAGCGGGAGGTGACACAGTTGTGGGTGGTGTCACCATAACTGGTGGTGATACTGTTGTGGCTGGTGTCACTGTAACTGGTGGTGATAGCGAACTTAGTGCTGACAGTGTAGCGGGAGGTGACAAAGTTGTGGATGGTGTCATCATAACTGGTGGTGATACCATTGCTGTTGGTGACACAGTTGTGGGTGATGTCACCATAACTGGTGGTGATACCATTGCTGTTGGTGGTAATGTTGTGGCTGGTGTCACTGTAACTGGTGGTGATAGCGTACTTAGTGCTGACCGTGTAGCAGGAGGTGGCACAGTTGTGGGTTGTGTCACCATAAAAACTGGTGGTGATACTGTTGTGGCTGGCGTCACTGTAACTGGTGGTGATAGCGTACTTAGTGCTGACAGTGTAGCAGGAGGTGACACAGTCGTGGTTGGTGTCACCGTAACTGGTGGTGATACTGTTGTGGCTGGTGTCACTGTAACTGGTGGTGATAGCGAACTTAGTGCGGGCAGTGTAGCAGGAGATGACACAGTTGTGGGTGGTGTCACCATAACTGGTGGTGATACCATTGCTGTTGGTGATACTGTTGTGGGTGGTGTCACTGTAACTGGTGGTGATAGCGTAGTTAGTGCTGACAGTGTAGCAGCAGATGACACGGTTGTTGGTGGTGTCACCATAACTGGTGGTGGTACCATTGCTGTTGGTGATACTGTTGTGGGTGGTGTCACTGTAAGTGGTGGGGATAGCGTACTTAGTGCTGACAGTGTAACAGGAGATGACACGGTTGTTGGTGGTGTCACCATAACTGGTGGTGATACCATTGCTGTTGGTGATACTGTTGTGGGTGGTGTCACTGTAACTGGTGGTGATAGCGTACTTAGTGCTGACAGTGTAGCAAGAGGTGACACCGTCGTGGGTGGTGTCATCATAAGTGGTGTTGATACCATTGCTGTTGGTGGTACTGTGGTTGGTGTCACTGTAGCTGGTGATGATAACGTACTTAGTGCTGTCAGTGTAACAGGAGGTGACACAGTTGTGGGTGGTGTCACCATAACTGGTGGTGATACCATTGCTGTTGGTGATACTGTTGTGGCTGGTGTCACTGTAACCGGTGGTGATGCTACAACTGTTGTAGTCTTGCTTAATCCAAAATCTGTAGAAATAGATGGTGAAAAGTATTTCCATATCTCAGTACACTGTGATAGGTTTAAACCCAGGAGCAGGGTGCCCGTGGCTAGTGGATTTTGCTATCGGGCTTGTGGATTCCGTGTTTTACTACCCCAATGGGTAAGTGAAAGTTTTTAAGGAAATTTCAAACGGCCACATAAAATTTCAATTCAGTACCTCCTTGATTCTGGTAAAACAGGTAAACTGAAAACTATTTTCAACTAATGGTCTAATGGACTACTTACAGTAATTAGTGATTAGATTAATCCTACTTCCAAAAAAACCTAGGACCAGTTGAAATGGCATTCGGGCTATTACTGGCATGCTAGTTGCAGGTTGCCTGAAGGGCAGGCTTTTAATATATATATATATATATATATATATATACATTTTACACCCTGAGGAGTATCAGAAGTTCATATAGTGTGATTGTACCGATAAGAACATCTGTTGATAAAATTTGTTCATTATTAAAGCATCTGTATACCAAAAATTATTGTAGAATAGCAAATAATTTTTTTTTTTTCCTGTGGTTAAGTAACACAAATTATAGAGTAATAATAACATTATTATTACATGTGGCAAATTCCTCCCATGCTTCTGGTCCAAACACACTTCTTTTAAGAAAAATGCAGTACTTAAAAGAAGTGCTTTGTTTGGCCTCTTTTGCTCTGGAAATGGTAGATCCATCCTCGTTGTTGTTGAAAACCTGTTTACAGTTTGTGGTTAACCCAAGCCCATGATTCTTTATTTCTTGCTTTATGCGGTCTTGGGGTGCCAGAGTGTCCAAGCCATGATTAGAAAGCATTGCGAGGAAAGGACCCAGGGCCACAGCAAGTCCATTGCATTTCATTTCCCCTTGTTCATGTGTTTTCATTTTGAAGGTAATGCAAGGGTTGATGCAGGTCAAGAGCTGAAAAAAAAATTTATATATATTGTAACTAGTTGAAGAACAGGGACTGGGTGTGTGGTGGGTTTAAACATTTACCTAATTCCCTAACCTACGACTGAGAGGGTGGGATTAAGTATAATTATTCACAACTATCAATTTTGATTTAAATAATTTATGATAATTTATAATAATAATGTATAATGTGGTTTTTCACAAGGAAAAACCAATTTACAACAACCAGTTGTAATAGAAAGCCAAGCAAAAATAAGACAGGTAAAACACCTTGAAATAGAAATGCACCATCCTATCTATTGGAATTGAACCCATTCAATGTGAAATCCACGTGCGAAACATCAATACTTTGCAATTAAGCTGACCCATGATACTTTTTTAATGAATTTTTAAATTCTGCAGCAACATGCAGTTTTGATTGTAGCAGGAAACTTCTTTAAAGGTTATCAATAATTCATAGGCAATATCTAATGTACCTTGCCCCTTGTCAAGTCATTACAATGAATGGCCTCCATTATTAACGACACAATGAAAGGCCCTCCATCTTCTGTGCTGGCACCATTTCCCTGTAACTTGGTTTGGTACTTTTTTACACACATGGGATAAACGGTATGTTCAAAGTACTCTTCCAGCATTTTGGTGTTAACAATTGCTTCATCATCAACGATATCGATAAGCTGCAAAGGAAAGATAAGGTAGAACTAGTACCCTAAATTTGATTGTCATAAATTTTTAAAACAGTTAATGGTATCTCGATTAACGATTAAAGACAATTTAATTATTATGACCTTAACAATATTATGGTTTTGGTGCTTATAACATATGAATTATTTTCAGTTGGTGGTTTCAACTGTCAGGAGGTTAGCTTAGTGACTGTTAAAAATATTGCATTGAATGCAATAAGAAATTTTCTTATCCACCAGTATTAATTTATGAGCATAATTCTCCAAGACCAAGAATGAGACACTTGATAAGAACGGAATTTTTATTTTTCCATTGGGGTTTTTTGGATCAAAAAGTAATCAAATTGTCATGTTTCTTGTAGTTTACTTGATCCGACTTTTCCTTTTGGAGGCTTTTTTTTGGCACCCATGCAGCAAATTTGATATAATCTCCCTTTACTTTTAATTTGTTTGTAAAAGACCGGCCATCCCTACAACAAGTTTTTGATAGACCCTTTTTGAATAATAACTCACTTTTTAGGAGACATAATTTACTAGCAATTTGGAACTTCTGATGATGGCCACTTACCTCTACTCCCATTGACAAAAGGAGAGAGTAATTTTCCATCACCCTGTCATCGATGTCCATGAATTCCTCTGTGAGAAGGGCTTTTATGTCCTTACTCCGGTTGAAAACAGTGGAGATGTTGATGGCAATTAATGGTCCCAGGGCCCTGGGAGCATTTGCCATCTGCTCTTGCAGTCTTTCTTCAGCCTGCAATTGGGCTTGGAGTCCGCTGGGGCTTCTGGGCCCCACAACAAAGGGTATCATGATCAAGCGGCTGGCAATCCTGTTGAAAAGTTAACGATATTAGGTTGTAATCTTCTTTTAATTTCTGAAGACCACAATATAGCGGGTCTGTTGGAAGAGGAAAAAACCAAGAGGGCGTCTGTACAGCAGTGTAAAAAATATAATTTCAGCATATTAATGTATTACAAATGTTCAATAAATTATGTAAATTACAGAGAAAAATTTCATGACTGCATGATCAACTTTCAGATGTTGGCTCAATACATTATGTGACCAGTATTAGTAGAAATGCTAATTGCTAATTGCTTTGAATATTTAGACCTGTTTAATATGGAATTTAATTAATTTAATTGTATTTATATTTAGCATACCTATAATCCTGAGGAAGCCCCTCCAGTGCTTCCCAGTTGACTGTTACCACTGGGCAAGTCTTTGGTGTCATTTCACGGCTACATGTGCCATCCTTGCCTCCATCGAAGTATGCTAGGGCAAGCTCTCCGAGCTGATGGGTGTTCTTTATATCATCCAGCACGGGAGGAAAGGTTGACCTGGAGCAAAGACGTGGAATAAAACGCTCCCGTGCTGATGAAAAGAACTGCTTGTCATTGCCCATTAGACGGAGAGCTACCCTAGCAGTTTTTGTTTTACCCAGTCTGTGTTCACCACAGATAACTGGGACTGGGAAATGTAGGCCTGCTTCTATAATGGATTCATAGTGCAGGCCTAATGTACTGCCAGCTGCAGAAAAAATAAAGGAAAAAAAAGGGTACCTTATGCCAATATTACTTCCTTCCTTGTTTGTCAATGTTTATTAGTTTAGTGTCTGTAGATGGTACTAGTTACTTCCAACAATCATAATGCAAAAACTATCATGACCTGTAGAGCCTAAAACAAACGACGTCCTGTTATAGCTTGAGTTGCTATAATTTGAAATCCCTAGTAACCTTCATTTTGTTATAAAGGTAATAAACCTACCCACTGCTAGAAAAGATGCTATAAAGTTCCCATGCAGGGTCTCCTTTAACCCACGCAAAACATCGGTTAAGGCTTGTGGTGTGAACGGATAGATGACCTCCTGAGTCTTTACGTTATCATCAAAGAGGTCATCTATCCACACAAACTCCTTCTCTTCCTCTGGGACAATGTCACCTTTATCATCTATGTGAATGGACTCGTTGATTACCCAGACTTTAGAACCCTCTTGTCTGCCAATAGTTTTTGCAGCTTTAAAAGTTTTTCTCCTGTTCTCATTTTCACAGTTTCTGTTCAGAACAAAATAAAATTTGAAAGTAAACTTTTAAAAAATTAGACTTTCAAGTTATTTTGTCACTGGTTCCATAAAATATCCATGGCCCCAGCAAGGAAGGCTATTGGACATTCTAAGTGCTGGGGCAGATCCAGTAGGGGGGTGGGAGAGGGGGGTTCAGTTTACCCCCCTAAGCATAGCACCAAACCAAGTGTGACTGTTAATTAAAACAGCTTCACCTCGACAACTATTCACTCATGAGAAACTGTGTCAGACTGTCAAATTTTTGTAAGTAGAGTTAACATAGAACTTAATAAATTGTTGCTAATCGTGTATCTTCAAAAGGGGTCTCATGGTAATGATAATAATTATTTTATTAAATTAAAACAATCGTTTTGTTTGATAGTCTGAATTAATAATCATGACTTGCAGGCAGACTACTGTTGAAGCATGAATTTCTATAACCATCGACTAGCAAAATTGTTTATACGTTAATCAGTTCACAGGGTAATTGTCATGAAGAGCCGGGGGCCGGGGATTTCCCCTGGCTACTATGAGTTTGAACCCTGGCTACTTTTAATGGAAAATAGAAGAAAAATAAAACCAAAAGAAACTTCTAGCTGTTTGATTCCCTGTCAACTTGTTGTATTTTCCCGGCAACTTGGGACAACACTGAGTTCACTCAAATGTCCTAATCAGATAAGGAGAGGATCCTTACATTATTTTGATTACTATTTTACATATGACTTACCGAAAATAAGACTTCATTATGTCCCGCAAGAACATTCTAAACTGGGAAGAATCGAACTCACACATCAATACCCCAGATTTGCAAGACTGATTCAACTCCTCAATAAACTTGCTAACCCCACCATTTAGAACTTTATTTGTCCTGAAGAAGCATTTTCTAAAAAAAAAAGAAAAGAAATGACTACTATGAGTGATTATTGCCTCAAAAAAGTTTCAATATATGGGTGTATTGGCATGGCATGGCATGTTCACAGTAAATTTCAGTAAATGACTTCATTATATTTGGAGATTGGCTCCAATTTTAAAAAAGTGAATAAATGCACCTCTTTTGAACAAGCAAGTATCATTTCTATGATATGGCATAATGATATTGATGTATATCTGATTTAACACTTATCCAAGTCCTAAAGGAATAAGCCCACCCACTACTTCTCCACTTGAATGACTTGAATCAAATAAGCCTCCTTCCATTTGCAAGAGGCTTTAGTAAAATATAATGTAATTTGAAGAAGCATTGCAGAAGATTTCAACGTGTACTGATACTTCTGCAAATATGGATATACTAACATAATATAACACTAAATAATGTGATACCTATCTTCCCCAGTGATGGAACATTTCACAAGACAGAGAAAACCACTGTCCTGGCCTCCTGCGTCAACATGCTTTAATAGTGTTAGGGAAAAGCTCGCTTTTTCAAAGTACTTCCTATTCCCCTTTGCATCTTGTCCCATGATACCCATGGTCCTCTCATTGAATACAAATTCTGGTTGGCTCATCTGTGTGGAAAAAAATTTGCAATTCTTTAAAAAGTATTCAGCCCCCAGGGACAACTCCCATCTTAGTGACAGGATGCTCATTGTCTCCCTTTGGGCTGTAAATTGCAGATTTGGCACTCAGGATGTTGGGGATGGAAAAGAAACTTTTTTTTCCCATTCAAGTATCGCTTAGGGGAAATAATGCACAAAAAATTTTGAATTTGATAGCATCCTAAGCGTCACCCAAGACCACTTTTTCTGGACACCTCCTTTACTTACTTACTTATTTTTCGTGTTTTAGCTTTCTGTGTTTAATATTACTACTGTAACATTGACTCTGAAAAGCCCTGTGGGGACGAGCCAATGAATATGAATGTATATCTGCATGCATGTATGCATGTATGTGGCATTCAATGTTGACATATTTAATGCAAATTATGCAAATCGCCACAACTCTCATTTGGATGTCTTTTTAGACCTTTAGAGGTCAAACAATTAATCAGCTGAATAAATACTGGGCAGTGCCCACTTTGGTATCCTTTAGGTTTTTTGTTTTTTTTTTGAGCATCCAACCTCTGTTCTGTTTTATGGGCTAAATGTACGTACATGTGCACGTGAACAGTGACTGGTACCTCACCTTCGCACCTTTGTTTTGTTCTTTACACCGTCCGCGAAATTGCAGGGAAGATTGGCACCTGTACGGTAAGTTAAAAAAGTAAACTTCTTTTATTTTGAAAACGTATTTACAGCACGGCTCGTAATGTTATGGAATCTTAAATACGTCACATCCGTTTGTAGTACATAGAAAGTCTTAAATCATTTCTTCATTATATTTCGCACGTAGCAGCCCTTACTTAACATCTCACAGAAAATGAATTAGCGACTATTTGGGAAAGGGAAGGGCACCCCCCTCCCGCCACCTCAAAAAAAAACTATCGGGCGAGCATTTTCACCCGAGCATGAATCGCTAAAATTAGGCGTAATCATGTACATTTACATATGTATAAAAAAGTTAATATATGTACATATGCCATCGTTTTAAGACCTCCCTGTTTCGCGGAAACAGAGGAACCAGATTATACTGAAACACTTATACTTACAAATGAGAGAGACTTACCACTCGAACTCGAAGACAAATAATGACTCGTAAGACTCGTCCACTGTTGAACCTCTCTCGCCTGTGTAATTTAATGCATGATAAAAATATTTAAGAATTCAGAAATGAGATAAAAAAGGCTTTCTTGAACTAGACCATGCAATTGAAAGGACAGGCATACGTACTAAGATAATCGCATAATATAAAACGCGGTATCTACTCTCATAATTTGGCAGGTGAAAGTGGCCTTTGGCGCGTAAATATGCTTCGATTTTCCCTCCAAAACCTTTTTGTCGTTAGCTATTGGCCAAATGCTATCATGTGAATAATGACGTCGATGTCCTGGTGGGCCGTGCAGGCACAATAACGTTATCAAGTGCAGTGAGTAATTGAAGAACGCCGCCGTTTCAAAACGAAAATAATCATTGCAAGATTTACTTGAACCGACTGGCACTAACACTTGAACACTTTGATTTTCCTGTATCACTCTTTCCGTACCGGCCAGATGTCCAAGGAAAAAGGGAAAGCGCATTCACCACCAAGAATTATCGAGCGCGGGGATCGCGCTTGTTCGAGCGGAAATTTTGGACAATCGTGTACATTTCAATATGTAACAAAATTAATGTCTGTACGTATGCCAACGTTTTGACACCTCCCGGTTTCTTGTAACCAGATTATTCTGAAGCGTTTACAGTTGCAATTGAACAAGACTTACCACTCGAAGACAACTGATGAATCGTACGACTTGTGACTCGACTGTTGAACCTCTCTCGCCTGTGATGGATAATAAAATTGTTTATGAATTCATCAATGCGATAAGAGAGGATTTCTCCAGAGAAACTAGAGCATTAATACATAGAAAAACGTCCAATTGAAAGAATAGGCATACGTACTGAAATATCCGCAGGATATAAAAACGTCGAATCCACTCTCACAATTTGGTCGCTGGAAGTGACCTTTCTTTGCCGCGTAAAGGATGTAAAATATGCTTCGATTTTCCCTCCAAAACCCTTACCTCGGTAGCTATTGGCCAAATACTATCATGTGCCTAATGACGTCGATGTCCTGGTGGGCCGTGCAGGCACAATAACGTTATCACGTGCAGTGAGTAATTGAAGAACGCCGCCGTTTCACAACGAAAATAATCATTGCACGATTTACTTGAACCGACTGGCACTAACACTTGAACACTTTGATTTTCCTGTATCACTCTTTCCGTACTGGCCAGATGTCCAAGGAAAAAGGGAAAGCGCATTCACCACCAAGAATTATCGCGCGCGGGGATCGCGCTTGTTCGAGCGGAAATTTTGGACAATCGTGTACATTTCAATATGTAACAAAATTAATGTCTGTACGTATGCCAACGTTTTGACACCTCCCGGTTTCTAGTAACCAGATTATTCTGAAGCGTTTACAGTTGCAATTGAACAAGACTTACCACTCGAAGACAACTGATGAATCGTACGACTTGTGACTCGACTGTTGAACCTCTCTCGCCTGTGATGGACAATAAAATTGTTTATGAATTCATCAATGCGATAAGAGAGGATTTCTCTAGAGAAACTAGAGCATTAATACATAGAAAAACATCCAATTGAAGGAATAGACATACGTACTGAAATATCCGCAGGATATAAAAAACGGCGAATCCACTGTCACAATTCGGTCGCTGAAAGTGACCTTTATTTGCCGCGTAAAGGATGTAAAATATGCTTCGATTTTCCCTCCAAAACCCTTATCTCGATAGCTATTGGCCAAATACTATCATGTGAATAGTGACGTTGATGTCCTAGTGGGCACACCACACTGTTATCACGTGCAATGAGTAATTGAAGAACACCACCATGTGAAAATATAAACAACGTAACTAACGCAAAACGAATTTAATAATCGACTACCATTCGTGATAGACGTATTTTCCCGTAGGCTAGAAATAGAATGGCACGAACGCTTGAATGTTTTAATTTCCCCTTATCATTTTTACCGTATTGGCCAGTTCTACTTACTTGGCTCCCATTCCATCGTGTTAAAAAATCTCAGCTGATCATTGGAATTGTCGATCGAATAAAGATAAATAATGAGCCTCCAGTTCCATTCAGCGACACAGAGCTGTCGATCCATTGCAAATTGTACGTATAATTTACGTCTGTTTCGTGTATTTCGCGGCAATAGCTTAAGTCTGGATAAATTTTGATAGGCAACATGTAAGGGACCGGTCATTATTTATCACCTGGGGAGTCGGAGGATTTTGGGGGGAATCACTTGATTTTTAGGAGAACAGAGGGGGGACCAGTCGTAACTGAGAGTCCAAAAGGGGGGGTCACTGAAAATTTTGGAAGGATTCAGAGGGGGGACCACTCAAATCTGCTTGAACAATGCCAGTTTGAAAGCATACAACATAAAATGTGCCCATTCTGCTGGGAGATGATAGCATTTGCAATCTCAGTTTGTTCTAACACAACTTTATTTAAAAAACGGAAGTCTGTCACACTGGCGAATGTGTGCATTTCAATTTCTATCGAGAAAGCTTTGTTCTAACGCTTTTATATTTTTCCTTTAATAATGTGCTCATGACTTAGCTAATATTCATCTTTAAACATGACAGGTGAATTCTAAATTGTGAACTATATAAACTTTTGATAACTGAAACATTGTAAAAAGCGTTTTTGGTTGTTTTTTCTGAGTTAAATACGTACCGAAATGCTTCAGAAAACAGTAAGGCCGAAACACCCGGTGCGGCATATCTTAGTAAAATAGAGAGTTTTATTGAGGACCACTACGTCCGAAAAGAGCTCTTTTTGGATTTTGTCGGGATGCCTGCAATAAGCAAAGCGATGCAAGCTCCACACTCTGTTCCTGGTGTACCAACAACAGATGGGTGGGACCAGTAACAGAAAGAATCCCTCAGCCCGTGCCAGACAAGCAAAATCCCGGGCACTTTATGACGAAATGTCTGAAGGACTTGTACGAACAAAACGCCATCTCTGATCTCGATGAAGAGTCAACTGTTCGTATGCCAGTTTTAACTTTTGTACCAGATGACCAAATAGCTGAAGTTACTGTACAAGCAAACACTGGATGAAAATAAAAGGAAAACAAAAAGAAAAAAAAAAAACACGAACAAAAAAAAATTATAACAATGTGAGCAAAGCTACAAAGGCTGATGTATAACATTATAGATGAAAATAAAAAAGGAGACAGGAACAGTTGCCGATCCTAGACCTTCCAGATGGCCGAATTGTTGCTAAATATGACCTGCTGATAGGGACTTGGCGGACTGCTATTTGGCACTTAAAAAAAAGTAACTTTGCAGTTTCAAACACTGATTGCAGTTTCAAGCACTTTGCGGTTTTAAGCAACATTGCTTGTATGTCAACTGAATTCAGATGTCTGGATACAGACTAGAAAAAGACACGGATCCAGAGACACTTTTAAAAAAAGACTGCGCGATAACGGTTTTATTATGCTGTAAGTACATCATAGTTAGAAATACTACCTGTATATGAACGTTTAAAACACTAAATATACACGTCGAAAGGTGAATATGGGTACAAAGACATGGGGATGTGGATCACGAAAGTTATATATAGTTATGAGGGGGGATCACTTCAATAAAATAACATTTAAAGGGGGGATCGGCTAAATTTCATCGTGTTTAGCCCCAAATCCTCCGATAGTCAGTGTCTCTATAGCTGACGTCACAAAGGACTTTGTTTTTTGCCCCTGCATCTTTTCTTGGTTTCTCACAATGAAAAACGCAAGAGAAGCTTTGGCACTGCCGACAACTTCAAAAAGTAGCAACCTTAGAAAAGTCTATTTCAATTATTGGCTATATTGGATAGTATAACACGTGTGGACTTTGAGGTGGTAAATAAAATGGCGCGCAAATGCAAGAGAAATGACGAAACACCGACCTGAATGTTTCTTTGTATTAGCCAGATTTTTTAGCCCTACCACTTTATAATGGCCTCGGTCCCTGGTAAAGGCATTCGCAAGATCTTTCTCATTCTTTGCCGTTGCCTGTATCAGTATTCTTCTGTAGTAGCTTGTATACTTTTCCCAAATGGTAACTTGCCGTTTTAGGATAAAATGGAATAGAATATAACAGGTGGAATATACAACTTTATTTATACACTTTATTTCCATCAGCTTATTAAGTTATCAATATCAACTACCTACCTCCTTTCCTAAATACGACTTAAAAGAAAAAAATATATTTAAATTAAAAAAAAAAACTGAGGAGATTTAGATTTGACTTAAACTCGGTTAATAAAGTCGCCTGCATTAATTTGATGGGCAAATTGTTCACAACTGAGCTCCAATGAATGAGAAACTTTTATTTAGGGAATCAATGTGAGGTTGTGGAAGAACTAGTTTTCGATAGTTTGTTCTCAGAATTCCTTAAACGGTAGGCACTCTAGTTATGACGATAAACAGACCTGGATTTTGGATAATCTGGTGTCATACCATGCAAAGATTTCTTTTCTTATCTTAACGCCACTCTTCTGATGCCGGGAGCAAAGAATTCAATAGCTCGCAATAATTAAAGTGCTTACTGCGTAATTTTGAAGCCTTTTTGTCGCACCAATGGCTGAAGCAATATATTTACAGACATTTCCAATATGGCACTCCCAATTCAAAGTTTGGTCGATGAAGAGTTGAAGTCAAATCTAAGAACAGACCCCAAAATTATTCCGCGAGGAACACCGCATCTAAAGACCTCTTCTAGGTGGACTAACAGGAATTAATGTCCATGTGACAAATCCGAGTTCCATTACCTAAGTAATATGCAAACCGTGGGATCCGATAGTGTGGTAATGTTCTGAAGAAAATGTCGTGATCAACTGTATCAAAGGCCTTTATGAGGTCTAAAAATACAAGTACATTGACTAAACCACGATCAATATTCATATTCCAACTATCAGTAGCTTCATTAAAGCCGTAAGCGTGGAGTACAAGGAAGAAAAAGAAGATTGATAACAAGTAAGAAAACTATTCACAGTTTTATACAGGTGTAGCTGGACGTAGATTATCCGTCTGGAAACCACGATCAATATTCATATTCCAACTACCAGTAGCTTCATTAAAGCCGTAAGCGTGGAGTACAAGGAAGAAAAAAAGATTGATAACAAGTAAGAAAACTATTCATAGTTTTATACAGGTGTAGCTGGACGTAGATTACCCGTCTGGAAACCACGATCAATATTCATATTCCAACTATCAGTAGCTTCATTAAAGCCGTAAGAGACGCGGATCCAGGATTTTTTCTAGGAGGGGGTGTACTCGTCTCTAGCTCTACTTCAACACCAATATACCCCATAGTTTTTTTTTGTAGGATACCAGTTGTATTAGAAAACCGCAGGTCATCTCAGGAAGGGGGGGTGCGCCCCCCCCCCCCGCACCCTTCCCCTAGATCCGCCCCTGCGTAAGCGTGGAGTACAAGGAAGAAAACAAGATTGAAAACAAGTAAGAAAACTATTCATAGTTTTATACAGATAAAGCTGCTCGTAGATTATCTGTTTGAAAACTTTAGCCACGACAGGCATGACCGCTATATGGCGCATTATCCTCAAAAAATGACAGTAATATTTCTCTTTGGCCTAGTATCAGGCATCCCATAGTTCAGCAACCTAACATTGTACCAGAACGTTCACCCTGTAGTCCTCCAGCGGATTAGAACGCAATTTACGTACGTTCCAATCCTTGCCTTATTCTGTTTATGAATGGCGTTTTCTCCACCGAATCCAATAACCCAGAACTACGAGAAACAACTGTCTCTCATTCAATGGCTTCCGGTGTAAATTTAAAGTTTGTGATCAGAGACAAATCACCCCATTAGCTGAAACATTTTTCACAACCATACTCTTAGAGTCTGTCCTAGTGATGACCAAATCAAGTGTACGATTCCGTCTGTGGGTTGGGGCTGTCACATATACCTCAGGCCGATCGAGACTTGTATTTCTGTCAGGGATGGTTCATTCCTCGTGACTGTTCGGTGGGTAACAGACATACCACGCAATTTCACATGAATTCTGTCGATGAAAACAAACAGTACAATTACTCCGATCCGGTTACTACAAGCTCCCTTACCTTGTGAACTCATACAGGTATGGTCCTGCATCACAGCCTTGCAAGGTTATGGAGGTTGTAATATGAGTTTATGCCGGAACGCAGTTTACAACATAAACCTGTAAGGAGCAACGATTTTTCTGTTAGAATTAAAAAATAAAAACGAAAAGCTCCGGTAATGCCATAGAACTGAACCATTTCCTTAATAGCGAAGTACGCCTGCGCTCACACATGGCCATTTTTGTAAATGTTAATGCCGTACGGAAATACAATTTTGTTGATTCTTTTTTGTCTTGGTTTGTGTACAAAACCTGTGCTGTAACGATCGATTCTAAATATCATTACCGACTTTTCGGTCACGAATGTTGACATCTTTGGTAAAACACAGTTCAGTTTCTAGTTTTTTTCTTTCTTTGCTTCTGGTGTTACATAGTGTACGTAGTTCCTTTTTTTTTTTCACCCATATGCCTTTTTAGTGCCCCTTTTGTAGTAGGGGAGTCGCTTATTTGTTCAGTGCTGACCGCTGACCGCGGGAAGGGGGAATAGGACTGGTATGTACGCAGAGCTCTTCGTTTCATTAATTTTACAACTTTTTGCTATTTAATTCTTTAATTTTTCTTTGGAAGATTTTTTTTACCCAATACATTTACCCACACCCAGACCTACGATCCACACCCACGACCCACGACATTTAGCCACACTGCAAAAATTCATGTGTCCTCCATTTTTTGGAACCTGAAATACTGAAAAATATTTGGGTGCAAGTTACAGAAAAAGGAACTGTAATCCATACTTAGTAGAACATGTCTTACATCATTTCTTTTAAAATGCAGCCAATCCGAGCAAGTACTTCACTCTTCATTGATACTTGTGATGCTGTGTGCTGCCTTCTGATGCTATGTGATGCCTTGTTATGCCTTGTGAGCCTTTGATATGCTGTGTGATGCCTTTTGATACCGTATGAGTCCTTGTGTGGTTGTGTGAGGCCTTGTGATGCTGCGTGAGGCCTTGTGATTCTGTGCGATGCCTTGTGATGCTGTGTGATGACTTGTGAGGCCTTGTGATGCTTTGTGATGCTGTGTGATGGCTTGCGATCCTTTGTGATGCTGAGTGACGCCTTGTGAGGCCTTGTGATGTTGTGTGATGCCTTGTGATGCCTTGTGATGCTTTGTGATGCTTTGTGATGCCTTGTGATGCCTTGTGAGGCCTTGTGATGCTTTGTGATGCTGTGTGATGCCTTGTGATGCCTTGTGATGCCTTGTGATGCTGTGTGATGCCTTGTGAGGCCTTGTGATGCTTTGTGATGCTGTGTGATGCCTTGTGAGGCCTTGTGATGTTGTGTGATGCCTTGTGATGCTGTATGAGGCCTTGTGATGCTTTGTGAGGCCTTGTGATGCCTTGTGATGTTGTGTGATGCTTTGTGAGGCCTTGTGATGCCTTGTGATGTTGTGTGAGGCCTTGTGATGCCTTGTGATGCCTTGTGATGCTTTGTGATGCTGTGTGATGCCTTGTGATGCCTTGTGAGGCCTTGTGATGCTTTGTGATGCTTTGTGATGCCTTGTGATGCCTTGTGATGCTTTGTGATGCCTTGTGAGGCCTTGTGATGCTTTGTGATGCTGTGTGATGCCTTGTGATGCCTTGTGAGGCCTTGTGATGCTTTGTGATGCTGTGTGATGCCTTGTGAGGCCTTGTGATGCTTTGTGATGCTTTGTGATGCCTTGTGAGGCCTTGTGATGCTTTGTGATGCCTTGTGAGGCCTTGTGATGCTTTGTGATGCCTTGTGAGGCCTTGTGATGCTTTGTGATGCTGTGTGATGCCTTGTGATGCCTTGTGAGGCCTTGTGATGCTTTGTGATGCTTTGTGATGCCTTGTAAGGCCTTGTGATGCTTTGTGATGCTGTGTGATGCCTTGTAAGACCTTGTGATGCTTTGTGATGCTGTGTGATGCCTTGTGATCCTTTGTGATTCTGAGTGACGCCTTGTGAGGCCTTGTGATGTTGTGTGATGCCTTGTGATGCTGTATGAGGCCTTGTGATGCTTTGTGACGCCTTGTGAGGCCTTGTGATGTTGTGTGATGCCTTGTGATGCTGTATGAGGCCTTGTGATGCTTTGTGAGGCCTTGTGATGCCTTGTGATGTTGTGTGATGCCTCGTGATACTTTGTGATGCTGTGTGATGCCTTGTGAGGCCTTGTGATGCTGTGTGATGCCTTGTGAGGCCTTGTGAGGCCTTGAGATGCTTTGTGATGCTGAGTGACGCCTTGTGAGGCCTTGTGATGCCTTGTGATGCCTTGTGAGGCCTTGAGATGCTTTGTGATGCTGTGTGACGCCTTGTGAGGCCTTGTGATGCTGTGTGATGCCTTGTGATGCCTTGTGAGGCCTTGTGATGCTTTGTGATGCTGTGTGATGCCTTGTGAGGCCTTGTGATGCTTAGTGATGCTGTGTGATGCCTTGTGATGTTGTGTGATGCCTTGTGATGCCTTGTGAGGCCTTGTGATGCTGTGTGATGCCTTGTGATGCCTTGTGATGCTTTGTGATGCTGAGTGACGCCTTGTGAGGCTTTGTGATGTTGTGTGATACCTTGTGATGCTGTGTGATGCCTTGTGATGCTGTGTGATGCCTTGTGATGCCTTGTGAGGCCTTGTGATGCTTTGTGATGCTGAGTGACGCCTTGTGAGGCTTTGTGATGTTGTGTGATGCCTTGTGATGCTGTGTGATGCCTTGTGATGCCTTGTGATGCTTTGTGATGCCTTGTGATGCTTTGTGATGCTTTGTGATGCCTTGTGAGGCCTTGTGATGCTGTGTGATGATGTGTGATGCCTTGTGATGTTGTGTGAGGCCTTGTGATGTTGTGTGAGGCCTTGTGATGCCTTGTGATGCTGCGCGAGGCCTTGTGATGCAAAGTGAGGCCTTGTGCTGTTGTGTGAAGCCTTGTGATGCTGCGCGAGGCCTTGTGCTGTTGTGTGAGGCCTTGTGATGCTGCGCGAGGCCTTGTGATGCTGCGCGAGGACTTGTGATGCAGAGTGAGGCCTTGTGATGTTGTGTGAGGCCTTGTGATACAGTGTGATACCTTGTGAAACTACGGTGATGTCGTTTGATGTCGTGTGACACTCAGTGTGTTTCCTTGTTACGCCTTGCAATGTTTTACGACAAGGTTCTCGGCCCATACCTTCTCTGCCGCTGTTGACTACGCAACCGCAGATCAGACAATAATTGGGTTACTCCTCCTCTCGTCTGTGTCGGTTGTGCTGTGTGATGTGTGATAGATCACAAATTTCATGCGGTCATTACACTCTTCCTAAATCGTGCATGGTATAAAGAAATCGGTAAAGCGTGACGTAAGAGTCTTACGCGCGCGAAGCGCGCAAGCCTCACACGACCTTTTGTTTGACTGCTCGCGCGTACTTAAATACGCAAAAAAACGGACTGTTTTGCAGTCTAAACTAGATAAATTCAAATAAATTTCTAAGAGTTATAAAAACAAGCTTCAAAACACGCGTTATTTTTCGCTGCAAGGTCTGTTTGCGCAGGTGATATTTGTTGCATTTCAAAGTGGAAATTTAATTTGTATTGTGACGATTTTGTTGGCCAACACAGATGTCTGGTTACTGTGGCGCCGCAAATTACCGATAAATCGCATAAAAACTTTGAGCAGGTTCGCCTTACGGCGACTACACGCGCGGGCGACGGGAGACTTGCGCGCGATGGCAGTGTCAGGAACGCACTCCCTCTCCATCGCGTTATTTAATTTGTCAGACTACGAAGTACATGTATTTAGAATATTGACTAACTTTCTATCGTTCCGACTTGTAACTGAAATCATTTCCTTTTAGCCAGGAAAGACGTTAAAAGGAAATGACTGGAAAGTAAGAAATGGAAGGGAACTCACTTGTCACACCATCCGCAAGACTTGAAGCAGTTATATCGAATGAACTTTCCTTTGTTCCCGGGCCGCATGCAGTAGTTGAAGTCTGGTTCGGTAAACAGTCTGCACAGGCGGTCATAAAAGTCCTTACACCCTGTTGTAATCAGAAAAATAAAACACAATGACTTGAAATAATAAAGCGTCAGCAAGCACGGCCATGTTTTCTTATACACCTGGTAGCATCTAAAACGGCAGCTGACGGACACTCTGGAGGAGCAAAAAAGTGTGTCCGTATTCAAACTGGAGGTAGTGGCATACGGGTTTTATCCAGTCTCCACGGCGGCAGGCGCTTCGAAACTCACCCGAGACAAATTGCATGACAGGAAACAAGCAAAGCGCCGTCTCGCCCGCTTTCTCTCTCCCGCTGTCCTTTTCGCGTTTTTTTTTTTTTTAAAAAAAGATGGTAGTTTGTTTTATTGTCTCTCGTGATACCGTTCATGGCCAAAAAATACCTGAACAGTATCCTCTATAAGCGAACAAATCACAGGACGGTGCCCGCTTGTGTAAGGTTAGAAACGAGTGTTCACGGCCATCATGGTTTAGATGGGATACAGTAAGCTCTTAAGTGGACAAATAGCGGCAGGCCAAAGGCGCTCTTGTACGCTGACGTCCTGGCTAGCTGTTAATATGTCATTTACGAGTCCACATACTGTTGTCCTTTCGTCCGCGAATTTGCACTTACACTTGGGTAAATGCAGAGATTGTATGGAAGTTCAACAAGAAAACATAGAAGCAGAAACGTGCCAGAGGTCGAGGACTACAAATTTCCCAGTGAATGGTCCCAGTTTAAAAGAATACTCAGTATTTGTTTCACAGTGAGTGGTAAGCGAAGCTTTGCACTCGGCACTTACGTAAGACCCCTCAGTAGCTCTTGACTCTAATACTTGTGAGTCGAAATCGAGCGCCTGTTCGCTGGTCATACAAATTCAAACCTCCTGGCATGACCTTCCGCTGAACAATATGTCGAATAATGTAACGTTCATCAAGTGTCCTTAACACTGCGCCTTCAAGTATGAACAGGTTTCATTAATTCTTATGTGTTTTCTTACTTGGACACCCGTGTCCGTTTTCCCCGTAAGCAGGAAAATTGTTCCAGCAACATCCGTATTCGCTTAGTTGACATCCTGGCGGGCTGAAAGGTTCTGACAAATAAGAGAGAGAAAAAAATCATAAGTCTGCTTACTTAAGTTATGTCCTTCTCCAGAAATCCTGAACGTTCTAGCGCGCGAACTCAAATTATTTTGGAGACCAAGGGAATGATAATGGAGTTCTAGAAGAAAAGCAACAACAGTGGAAGAATTCGTTGTACGCGATCAAAGAAAAGAGCTACTCTAGCCTGTTCCAGGCGTTCAGATACTGGGGAGCGGTGCGAAGTAAAAAGGAGCGCGAAAAAATAAAAGCGACGGAGGGGGAGAGGTGAGAGTCCCCCTCTACTTTTCATCGCTTTCTTTACTTCGCACCGCTCTCCACTATCTGAACTCTTGGAACAGGCTAGAGCTACTCCCGTTCAGCAAGCCGTTTCTAACACCATCTTAGATAACGACGTGCAAGAGTGGAGGTCCTCTCCCGGTGGAGGACACCCGACCCCCGTAAGGTAGATTTCCACTGTCGCGTAATTTTTACATGCGTCACGCGCGTAAATGAAATACAGGCCATGTATGGAAGGTCGCGCTTGCACGTAAAAGTTAAACCTCGCTACGCGCGGCTTTCGTACATTGCCTCTAGTTTACTCGCGCGTAAATTATACGTACGTACGCACGCGTATTAAAGCGAGCGAGTCATCGTCCGTTTTCTTTACTGAGCGAGGCCTTTGATAAAGTACGCGGTAGAATTCAGTGAACCTGCTATAAGCTGTGTTAACCTTTGCCCATTACAGGTGATTTGTCCCCTACTAGGCTTAGCTTTGGTGTAGACACAAAACAGGACACCCTTAACTATAGGAAAAGGCACATAAACTAAAGAAAAGCAACTTACTACAGAATTTGCACTCCTTTGAGCAGTATGTCGACATGACGCGCTTGAATTTTTGGCAGTAGCCTGACTCCGCCCACGCTTTACATGTTCCAGCCTTCGATTCACGCTCGGCATCCTTACACACTAAATATGAAGTGAAAACACTAGGTCATACGCCTAATAAAAGTGTGGGCGAATATTGTAAAGCGAAGCAAAGCGCGCGGATCTCACACACCCCTCGCTCCAGGCCTTTCACTTGACTTCTGGCGCGTTCTTGACCTACGCAGAAATACTAGCCTGCGTAGCTGGCCGGATCGTTCCCGCGAGAAAACTTTTGGCAGAGGAGCTACCTAACTGACCCCCATTTACAGATGAGGGAATTATAGACAGAAAAAATATATTGACGTATCAGATTTTGTAATTCAATCTACCCACACGTCCACATCATAAAAAGCTTCCTTGTGTTTTCTCACGATTTTCCATTTGCCCGAGGTTGTTTTTAAGTAATAAAACATGGAGACAATGATAAAAATAACCTGCGTTTTAGCGGGCGCTTTCGACAGTACCCTCCGTGCTCAGTGTCCTATTAACGAGGCTCGATTTAGACCTCAACAACTTCGTCGCCAGGGCTTTACCCGACGAGGTTAAGACTGCAAAGCAGCCCGTCTTTTTGTAGCCTGTGTTAGCTGGCGGAATTGTGTTTGCGCGTGTGCGAGTTTTCGCAGCAAAGCCAAGCGAGCGCCGATTTCAAAGCGTCTCCTCCCCATTCTCCACACGGTTTGGCATGCAAAAGATGAATCACTATAACGTTTGTAAGGAGAGCACACGGCCACTATGGTGGGTAGGTCTCCTGGGTAGAGTCAGTTGCAGGGTGTTCGCACAGTGATGCTAAGCTGTAGTAGCAGACCTGTATTTGTCTGTTTGAATTACTGTTGTTCGTCAAGTCGTTTATTTTTCGACACGCAACATACCCTTACAACAGCGGCAGAAGAGAAATAAACACAAAGATGGGTTCAAACTGTGACCAAAATTGAGGCAAGGGTAAATACACTGTACAAAACTGACAAGGACGTGGCAATCTCCTCAGTTCATGAAACAACAGGTTTTGAAGTTTAGAAAGGGACATTCATACCCCTCTCATCCGTATAAGGTTAGTTTCAGCAGAGGGAAGGTTGTCCCATTAAGAACAACCTTGTCCCAGGGCCATTCTGACGGAAAAGCCCTGGGAACGAGCCGGGGCTGATGATGTTTTTCAGCCGATCTCATTTCAATCGGCGTGGCTAAGTAGTTGATTGACAAGAAAACTGTTTTGAGATTTTAGGGTAAGAGAGGGCTGTAAAGGAATTAAATTGAACTTAAGTCCAACGATTTATACTGAAGGACAGCATAAATAACATAGAATAGCATAGATTTTGTCTGTGATTCACACGAAGACTAGGGGGGAATAAAGAGCCATTGATGTTTAGCTTCGAATTAATGAGGCATAGTTTCAGTTTTTTTTTTTCCATGAGGTCCAACACAGTAGTATCAGTTGGCTACCCCTTTGATCCCGGGGGCTCCTGTTTGAACCGAAATTCTGGAATTTTCTTTCTTGGTTTGGAGTGGTAAAACAAGTTATCAGAGAAGTAGCTTCAACTTGTCTGTCCGCAGCAGCAATAAATTCAGGATGCTCTGCGATAGAGAAACGTGACTTAAGCCACTTTATTTGCAGTTTTAAACGAACATATCAGATAAGAAAATGGATTGAAGGACCAATATCCGGTGCCTGAACGTGCAGAGACAAACCGAATACCTACAGTGTAGTTTTTCTGTGCGCAGTTAAATAAAAGCGCATCGATCCAAGTTTAGTGGCAATGATTGCTTAACTGTGGTTCAACACCAAAATTTAGCAGCGGCACTGAGTAAGTCAACCTTAAGTCTTGCCCGCGACTTCCTTCGATAACTTGTTAATCGCGTGAGTGTTAATTAACAACATCTGAAGTCGCCTTTCTAGATCTTGCCATACGGCGCTTGGTTTCTAGTTACTAGACAAAAATAGCCTAAAGACTGCAGAGCGCTCAAAGAAAAACTTTACACTAAGAATCTCCTGTCGCTCACAAAATTTATGGGATTTCTGTAAAATAGTATTGTTGCTTCAGCTAAAAATAAAAGTTTAGGGAACAATTAAAGAACCATACAACTGAAATATGTCTCTAACACGCGTCGTAAGGGTAAAGTCAGCAAACGTCCTTATTTCGCGTCGGTAACTCGTATTAAAAACACTACTTAAACCATTAAACTTACCGAACTGAAGCCGACGATGCGCTCACTTTGTCCCCCTCCCCTCTCCTCATTTGTAGCTATGTGTTATCTGTGCTCTTTTTTATGGGTATTTAAAGCTACTTAAAAAAGCCACAAGAAAAGAGGGAAAGAAGTCGAAATAAGGATTCGAGGTAGCACGTGGAAATCGAAATCGGAAATTCCTGCACAGAAGGCTGCCCACTACTGACTGTGAGAGTGAATCCTTGAGAGTAGTAGACATAAAATGTTCGACAAAGACACTGAAAAAAGCTGGAAAACATTTCAAGCAACACGCTGAAACAGTTCCATGTATTTAAATTTCTGGTCTTTTTAGTGCGGCCAAGTGTTTAGGACTTCCTGCTACATAAGTTCAATAAGTTAGGTACTGTCTAGTAAGATTGCCACTGTTTTTGTCGAGTATGTTTTTTGCTTGTTTGTTTGTTTGTTTTTTATCTCTTCATGCGCGCGCGAAACACTGATAATGGCGGTGTTCAACACCTTGTCAGCCTCTCGTAACCATCTTGAAGAGCACAGCCTCTGGGAGCGCAACATAAGGAAGCGTAATGAAAGCTCTGTCAAAGCTGTTAGTACGCCAAAAGATAAAATCAGCATTAGTGATTTAGCAATATAAATCTAGTCTTTGCCTCGTCGCAAAAGATCAATCGATATACAGAGGAGTCTGGAAAGTTTTCATGATCAATATCGTAAATTGATGAATAGATTGTTACGCGATAATTGCTCAAAATGATACCCAGCGAGTACTGAGGTAAAAATGGTACAAAGAAGTATCTAGAAGAACTGGAATCTATAAAAGGTATTGTGCGGCTTTACTTTGAAGTTGGTTCTTCTCGAATGCTGAACCATCAGCAGACCAAGACCTAACTATTCCCTTTACTTTTAAAAAGAAAACTAAATGCAGTTTTAAGTGGTTTGGACTTATCTAATTCTAAGAGCCTGAGTATACGATAATAATAACTTTATCATACGTAACATCAAGAACCTAAACAGATCAATACCACAAGATGGTGGATTAGCCATCATTTGCTCGGTTGCTCATTATCCGGCAATTAGTCTCTAACATCGAAAAATCATCTTCTTCCTTCCTCGTTAAGGCAACGCGCGCGTGTCAGTCTCGAGTCAGTCGTTCATGCGCAATGGCCTTCGAGGCGTGCAGATCATGGTTTGCGCTTTGAAAGGCGTTCTCTTTAAGCCATAACTAGGAAGCTTTAGCAACGATGACGGTGACGGCAAGAGAACGTCAAAAACGCAATAGGTTCATATTGCGGGAAAACAACAACTTTGCACGTGATCACGCTTTTTTGTACGTTTCTTTGCCGTTAGCCTGCGAAAACATCCGTTTCTCCTCGCTCTTCGCCACTGGGGACGTTCCTTCGCGCGAAACGTCCCCAGCGGCGAAGAGCGAGGAGAAACGGATGTTTTCGCAGGCTACTTTGCCGTCGCTACGCGACTACGACGTGAAACTGCCTAATTTCACGTTTTATGGAGGACGTTTTAAAACGAGCGACGACGAATTTTTTCTTTCTCTTTCTAAACTTGAGTGCAGGCCCCAAGTAATCAACTCCAGGGAAATTCGCCTACATTGACATTTTCAGCGAACTGGAGTAAACGCGACACAGTTAAAAAAAAAACCCTAATTCATTTTTAAAGCGACGTTCTCACTGCCGTCCCCATCGGCGATGCTAAAGCTCCCTAGAGTCACTCACAGGACTTATGCTACAATTAACCCAGAGCTACCAAGATGAGCATTCCACAAAAAGTACATAAGTTAACGTTCTAACTAGTATTTGTAGTACTTTAACACTGTACTAGTGATTTGAAATACTGCCGTGAAAAATAACAGTATATGACCTCACGGAAATAAACAACAGACGTACCCGGCAAGTCCATTGGATAGAGAGGGAAGTAGGGTAGACTATATCTGCTCCTTCCTTTTTTGTTTCTTGTTTCCCTCTTTGATCTCCCTGTTTGTCTTCTTTCCACTGATTTCATCCAAGTGCGCAGGATAAACATTCTGTGATCTCTATCGATGTTCATTTTGGGTTCTGAAAGCTCTAGAAGAAAAATTACATATAGTTGTTAACAGTCTCGTGGTTTTCGTTGGCTCAGTTCCGAATAGACATGATTAAATAATCGAAAACAACAATATGAATTTCTAATCATTTGAAGAAAGAAAGGAAAGGAGAGAAATTTTCCTCCAATAATATCACTATTCCCATCTGCAACTTGAAATACATGAAAACAGTCTCAGATTGAATTGCACTGTATTTTCAAAACATTGCAGCCACCCGGGGGGGATCCCATGTGATGGTGGGGGAGACGCTCGTCAGAAAATTGGAAAAAGAGACCAATTGGGGCGTGGCACAGCATTGGCTCTTAACGATACAATTCTAAAATAGACACTGAGCCAAATCAGTAAGAGCAATCATGAATCATTTCAGACACAGAAAGTGTCACAGAATATCAGCTTCATTCTTCTTTCTTTCTACTTTTCTTCTTCTGCCTTTGTTATCAAGCACTGCCCTAGGATTTGTGTATAAACATATTGAACTTAACTGGTACCATGTTAAATCCTCAATTTTACAACCATCCTGGTTCTGTTAACAGGGAGTCCCCCCGGGGTCGATCTTCTGCATGGCACGTTTCAACAATTGCACGTACATAGTTCAAATCATAAAAAGGGCTTAGCTGATGAATATAATACATTGAAATGCTTGTTCGAAAAAGTGTTTAAAATAGACTGGTACGAATCAAATGTTAATGGCTAGATTTGCGTTTGTTTCTATGGACTCCATACCTTTCTTAGTTCCGCCATTGATGAAGTCCACCAAAATGATTTGAATCAGCAGGCTAACAAAAACAGTGGCGTTCTTTATAGCAACCATAGTGTCCTAACCAAGACTAATTCAGTTGAGGTTCAATTGCAGCACGTACATTCTCTTAACGCGTTTCCCACGCTGTGCATGCAGCAGTTTGTCTCCTGTCATCTCTTTATAGATTGCGTCACAATATCTTGGTGGTATATATTACACATTCAATTTCGGAGATTAGCAGGTTGTGACGACAGTAATATGATCAGTTCACTGTAGTTTTCAAATAAAACATGTTCCAGCTGCGTTTTTTGTTTAATAGTCTGTGAACGATACGAAATCCTGTGTTTGACCTTTCAAATGCAACACGCAGTTTCGCGACCTCTCATTGGGTGGGTGGGAGTTTTTTTTCGGCTGGGGATGGTCAAATGACTTGATTTTAAGACTAAAATCGGCTTTTCCATGGATAACGCCGGGCCGAGGGAAAGGGGTGTATGAAAATGTCACGAAGGTTATTTAAATGTTTATTCTGTCTTTTGCAAAATTGTCGTAAGTGGTAAGTTGATACGTAACTGGTACCTACCCAAAACAGAAGTATCTGTAAACAGCATTCTAAATGCGAAATGTGTAATACTGTTTAGGTTGATGAATGATGTTGATGATGATGAGTAAGCTGTTCAGTGCAAATGAGCAATCGTAGACGTCGATGGGTGGATAATTAAATGCCGCATATTATGTAGGATGTTGATAAGCATGATTGACAAAGTTGGCCGGGGGACCATGAGGGAATTTTGGGTAGATGCATGGGTACCGGTCTGACCCTATTTTAAGGCAAAAATTACTAATTTCGCTACCCTGTTTAAGACAAAAGGCCTTTCTTTATGACCCTGATTCGTTTCGTTTTGCGTACAAAATTTCTGCAATAAAACATCGGTGCAACAAATGTAGACCACTCATCGTCAACCTTTACACTCCAGGGGCACCCAACGGCAATTTTCGGGAAAATATCTGTTCGGAAGACGATTTGAGAACTAGAATTTTCGGAACATTTGTTGTAAAATTTCTTGCTTGCCTGCCTCTCCTAGGATTTTCGAACATCTACAAAATGGTATAATTACCCATTTTAAACAGATATTTACCCCAAAAAAGGCCACCTAGAATTTTCGGGAGCCTTTTCCTGGCTGAAATTTTCGAAAAGTTAAGTTTTGAACCCTATAATTTTCGGATCACTAGACTTTCAGCTAGGAAATCCGAACAGATGAAAAGTTTTTAGAGGATAAAAATATGCCTATATCTACCGTTTAAATACTAAAATACGTTCAACAATGCTATGTTAAGTGGTTTTGAACTATATTCTCGTTGGGTGCCCCTGACACTCTTATAAAAGCTTCCGGTCCAAAAAGACACCCAAGATAGTGAAATTGTATATCATGCTTGTGCCAGGGTGGACTTGCAATGATCATCAAGTTAGAGATGAAACTTGAACCTAGCCTGGGACCAGGCTCCTCAGTGGGGGAAAGGGAAAAAATAGGGAATGAAACAGCAAACAAATCGGTGAGTGAAGCGAGCCAGAGCGGTAGATTTGGGAGGGTGAAAGGGCCCCTCTCCAGTCGGCTCGCTTCATTCGCCAATTTTTTTTGGCTGTTTCTTTTTTTCGCCTTTTTCCCCCACTGCGTCTCCAGGGCTTTTCCCTTAAAAAATGGAAATTTAAGGGAAAAGCCCTGGGGAAGAGGTTGCCACTGCGGAGCCTGGTCCCAGGCTATACTGCACCAAGCCAGGCCGGAAGGCTCCGAAGCTCTAACCTGTCTATCGGTGCTTGGACAATAGCTTCAACTCAGTCACCAGAAACTTGTAATCCTCGCTCAAACATCATACTAACTAGTACTTTTGGAGATTCCACAGTTTATAGTACTTTCTTCCGGGTTTCTTCACCGCTTGGTCCAACCTCTCGCCATGATCTTCCTCCACAGTTCTGGCTACACGAAAGTCATCGTGAATATCATGGGCATATGGACAATCTGTTAGGATTTCTGTATGTGTTGTGGTTCAATTTTGCCCTTGGTTTAATTTCTATTTTCCTTTGTCCCATACTCGTTATCATTACATTACCTAATCTCGTACCCAGATCTCACTCTGTTTTATACTAAAGAGCTGAAAAGTGAGATCTCCCTTTCCCTTGGCCGTGGGAGATCTGGGTACGAGATTATATATTAGCATACCCCAAAACAAAGAAAAACAAAAATTAAACCAAGAATGAAATTGAACAACAACATACGACTCATACGCTTAGTAGTCTATGATGGGCTCTTGGTGTTCTGGAATTTAGTCTGAGATCATGTTCTTACAGAACAAGAGGGAGGCAGTTATAGCAGGGGAGGCCATCAGGTCCAGCAAAGGTGGATATGTCTCTCGATTCCGGGCAAGTATAATTGCAGCTTGTTCTTTCTCGCATGCGGACTGAATGAGCTCGAGCCAGATTACGTTGGACGCTATTGCAGTTTGACAACTAGGCGCGATTCTCCGAGGGGTGTACTTCCTTATAAGAGGCTAATGGGGATGTGCCTCTGGATGGGGTCGCATTTTCACGACTGGATTGACACGCATGTCACTATAAAGACTTGACAGAAACTGGAAACCGCGCTAGATAAGTCTCTGGCACCCAGGGTAACAATAATGGGGTCGCATTTTCAATAGAGTTACTAGAATGAGGTCGCACATTTTTGGATTTTTTGGGGTAAGACAGTCCTTCATATTTACGGTTAGCAAACGTACCAGAATGTTTGTACCGCAAATGAAAAGTAAAGTGTTCTTCATTCAATGTAAAAAATGGGTTAATTCTTAAAAATTGAAAGTGACTAAGTTGTGATCGCGAAAATGACATATTTGCCTAAAAGTGACTAAGATGAGGTCTGTAATTGGCCACAGAATAGACCATAATGGTGTAGGGGCTCTGAGAGGCCAGCGGCACATACCAATCAAAAATTAACCCAAGCACCCGTACCGTAAAAAGACCTGGGAACGAGGTTCGGCGTGATGCGTGACTTGAGCGGCTACTAAGCGTGTAATTTGCTGTCACGCAAAATGGAGATTACGTAATTTGAAAGTTGAATACATGAACTTAAGCACGCTAAATTGGGTTGAACTGCGTTGCGTCTGAGTCGAAGTTAAAACTCCGTCATCCAAGGACTCAAACAAAGATGCCGTTTGGCTGGCTAAAAGGCGAGGAGAAGCCAAAAGTAGACACAAGCGAATTTCACGTCCCTGAAAGCTACCGTGGGTCCGAGGGACCGCGGTTTAAAGTCTTAGAAAACAAAGACGACTATGAAGTTCGCTTATACGAAAGCTCACACTGGGTAAAGACAAGATTCGAAGAGGGAAACCTTGAAAACTGCTCAAGCACCGGATTTTGGCGTCTGTTCAACTACATAAGAGGCGAGAACGAAGGAGGGCAAAAGATAGCCATGACAGTTCCGGTTTCTTCACACGTCGACCTCGACGACGATGGCAATTGTAAGGGTTTCACGATGGGTTTTTACACGCCCGCCGAGCATCAGGCCAACCCCCCTATTCCCAAAGATAAATCAGTGTTTCACGAAAAAGACGAGGGTCTTGTCATGTATTCAAGGCACTTCGGCGGCTTTGCTAAGGAGAAAGATTGGCGTGAAAATTATCAACAGCTGAAGCAGTCCCTCGACAGAGATGGCAAGGGGTATGTAAAAAACAAGTACGTGACGGCGGGCCATGACCCTCCGTTTCGATTATTTGGCCGTCACAATGAGGTTTTGGTCTTGGCAGACCTACAGCCATCTGCAGAAGGCAAGAAACAAGGCCAAGAATAGGGCAGGATGAACAAAATTATGAAGTGGTTATGCAATATCTCCTGAGTATGATTATTGTGAACATGGCTTTGCTGACAATTCACGCCCTTTTGATTACACTCCGAAACATCATCTCTCTAATCACCTTTCTTCAAGACCTGATTACGGTGATTTTGAAGTGAATACACTGAACTGACTTTCTGCATCATAGCTAAGCTAGACTGGCCGAAACTACTGTAGCTTAAATAGGGAAAAGTAACGTCAAATGATAATTTTTTGGTTTTTGGGTGATCGTGTGATGGAGATAAGAGCCTTAAGGCCCAGGCTTTAAGGTCCCTTAAAAGCGAAGCATATTTGTTACCGTGAATTTAAAATGATAAAAATGCAATCAAGCGAAGGGGAAAAACTACCCTGAATTCACAGAGGAAGGAAAAGTAACTAATTCATGTTTAAAATTTTATTTTTAATTACTGAGTTCAAGTTTAGTCTTTGATTTGCATGCAAATATACCCCTAGTACGTAGAAAACGTAAGAGAAATCACATTTTTATGCTAACGCTTGCTTTACTACAAAAAAACTCAATCGGCAAATTACATGAAAAACATCACGAAGACCCATAAAACAGGATATTCGCTTTTGTGGTTCCCGACTTAAAAACTCCAAAATGTTTATCTTATACATCTTTCCTGATTATTCACTGGTTGTCACAAACCACACTACACGTAATGAAGTACTTGAAGAGTTAAGTTCGGCAAAAATGACTATTTATATCTTTCATAAGAATATCGAAGTGGATACACAGATATTTTGTTGATTGGCTTTTGACATGTTTCTGTAGCAAACAGTGCCTGAAAGCAGTACGCTATACTCTTGAGTGATTTGTTTTATGTAATAGCAACGGGGCGTAAAGACCTGGAAAATAGTACATCTTCGCGAATTCACGAAAACAGCGCATTATGTAACTGAAGTGTACTGTTTAACCCTAAAGAGAACAGTCACTGTAGACTTCTTTTGTTTAGTTCGTGATTGTGATAAAATTCACATGAAAAAACGTCTCGAAAAGAGACAAGACTTCTTGGATCATGTAACCGTTAATTTTTAATGATCAGAAGGCTTATCAATTTTGCGAGAGATTTATGCAATTATTTTCTCTTTTGATCAAGTCAAAAGTGTGCAGTTAATCCTTTCAGGTCCCTTTTTAAAGACAAAAACAAAAGTAGAAGATAAACTAAGTTTAGTCGCGAAAAATAGGAACAATATTTAAAACTGAAAGACAGGAGGCCACAGGAGAGGAAGCAAATTAAGCGATTTTTCAACAGCATACGCTTGCCAATGGAAATTGATTTCACAGATATCGAGGCCGCTATAAATCATTTAGGTTCAGATTTAAGATCACTTGAAGACCAACAGTTATTACGCCCTGTCCTGAAAATTTCGTACAAAGTGAAATGTATATTGTCTACACTGAGTAAAACCATCGTCCAACTGCAAGTATCGTTATTCATCGGTACTCACGGATAGACTCCACGGGGGGCATTACTTTTTACCTGCATTGAATTTGATTTTCAATTTTTGCTTTTCAAGAAGAAGTTCAAATTGATATTTTATGCTTGTTGATGTATCCGAGATAAACTTAGTGAGTTGCTTTATCATCTATTCAATGATTTATAAGGCCCTGTTCTACATAAGTTCTTGGGCTGCCCTTTTGCTCGCGTTCAGTCCACCGGAGTAAGTATCAAAACCAGAATTTAACGATGACGAAACGCAACGGCGGATTAAGAAAAGAAAGAAAAAAGGAATTCTTAAACGTACCAAAATATCGAAAGTTTCCTAGAATATTATAGCGTCAAGTGATATCACTTTTCCACTATTAAGCTCACACAAGTAACCTTCGCTCCCAGGGTTTGTTTTCTTCCGCTACAGAAAACTATATAGAAGAGACACTCTAATGTCGACCTCCAATCGCATTGGCGTTTCCATCTCTCTCCCTTAAAATTGGCTGGGAAGAAGGCGTATTAGGTCAGTGGACGCTCGGTTTGTCCTGTACCGCCACTTTGAACTTTGAAGGCGGAGGAAGGTGAGGAGAGGGTGGAAATTGCGATAAGGGTTGAGGAGGCGCATGATGGTGCAAAGACAGTCACTGCTTCCTTAGCTAGCTGATACCCGTTTCGACTCATCCCCACTCTCCCGCTGCTTTATACTGAACACGGCGCTTAATACCTTGCGCGCACAGGCTACGTTTTCGCCGTGTGAACTGGCGTGGAAAAAGTAGCTACTTTTCGCACACCAGTCCACACAGCGAAAATGTCGCCTGTGCTCTCAGAGTATTAAGCGCCGTGTTCAGTATAAAGCATCGCCATAGGTTGCCGAATACTTGGGTAAAAACTAATCACCCCACGGCCCCACCAAACCATCGAAAAAAAAAAAACAGTCTTACTTCTGCTCGTGCTATGTGACAGGTTAGCGAACGAAAAGGACAAATGACCGCACGGTAGGACGCTGGCTAAAACGTTAAACCTTAACCTAAAACCTTAAACGTTTGAAAACTAATTCGTGCTATAATCAAATTGCCGTTTTAACTAAGCTGTTAAGCGAAGGTGTCAAGCGCGATTTTGGGAGCACAGCCGAACTTCCCGTAAGCGACCACTCAAAATGGAAAGGTTTGGTGGTCGCTTATGAGAATCGAACCGTCTTCCAAAAAGAAGTCTGAAGTGTCTACTGACTCTTGAAAGGGAATTTATTTTATGCATTTTTATGCGATAAAAAGCTACAACATTTGTAGTTCCATTTCACTAAACTCTCGCAAAAATTTGGTGTTTTGGATCAGCAGTCACTCATGGTTTGTGGTCTGTTACGAGCGAGAGATGGTCCGAGAGAAAATATTTTTTCCTTCCAACTTACCTACGATTTTGCGTTAATGCTTAAGCCCGGGGGGGGACTCCGCATACGAAAGGGGTGGGGATGCTCGTCGGAAATTTTGAATTAAACCCCTAAGGAAGACCAATCTGGGCGTGGCCCAACCTTTTTTGACCCCTAAAAGCGATCATTTTAAACTTTGATTAGATGAATCGAGTAAATACAACGAATTGAAAATATATAACTTTTTAATATTTCTTCGAGTGCAGCCATAACAGAGAATTTTACGGCTAAATATAATGGTGTTTTGCCCAGAACACCCTAAGCGAGACGATGAGCATCCCCACCCCTTTCATATGCGGAGTCCTCCCCCCCCGGTGCTTAACATGGATGCTTCGTAAATCCTAGGCCAGGTTTGTAGAGCGGGGCGTTCTCAAACGATCATAATAAAAAAGAAAAAAGACTGAAGGAAACTGAAAATTATAAATTTATTTTTATTACTGCATGATATATATTAAACAATTAAGCACATATACTGATCTCCAGACACAAATATCCGTTCAGTTTCCTTGGAGAGTTTTATGACATTTCACAGTGTTTTGTAAAGAAATAATATACTTTATACAAGGACCCCCGACTATGAAAGATATTTTTTTGTTATTAGATAGTTCTGTATTAAGTCTTATTCACTTGGTCTCCGAATCATTCTCAGAAAACGTGCGATTGTCAACACACGAGTTGAGAAAACGATCCAATTCAGCGTTGGCATACCTATGTTACAATTATCGGCCCTCACATTGAGTAGAAATTGGTTGGAAAGCCCCTTATTTTGCCTTGAATGTTGGATGGCTTATTTTCCTTTGGGAGGCGTTTAAAGTACAACACCTAAGAAATAAAGGACGTTATCAACTCAGATAGTCTTTGTAGACAGTGAGTGGATCTAGATCGTTGTGTTTGTGGAAGGAGATGGGCGTTTGATGGGCCAGAAGTGATGGAACATATTCATTGGGTTTGGCCTGCAAAAGAACGACAACAAACATAATTAAAAACAAGTCTTCATGCTGCACAGTAAGAAATGATGTCCTTTACAAGAAAAATTTCATGTCGACTCCGGCAACAACAACAGCAACGCCCCAACGTCTAAGTTAACCAAAGTGCAACCCTCTCTCGGGAATTAGATAAAGAAAAATATGAGCAAAAATGTGTCAGTCCTGTCAGTGACCAGATGACGGTGACCAGCATATTTGGTCGTGGAAAGCACGATTATAGGCATTGAGAGCTAAATAGCCATTATCTCTCTTTACTGAGTGAGTCTAGAGATTCCTCTTAACACGTGGCAGGCGGTCCAAGAGGAAGCCCGAGGGGAAATTTGGGCGCCTGCAGGCTACAGAATCTCGTGCCATTTGACCCTACACTTGGTCAAGTTCTGGATGGAGAGAATACCTATCCTTCCTCCATCAAACAAGGTTCTAAAGAAATACAACAAAAAGTATTACAGGACATACCTGGTGGAAGGCGGGGCTATGCGTAAGAGGTATTCCCAGTCTTCGGAAACAATTCCCAAGCCACATGTCGTCGGGGGAGTCTGGTTCCCAGCAGTTGCAGTTGCTTTTCAGTAGAGCATCAATACCAGCTCGACTCAGGATCATTCTAAAAGAAAAAATAAATACTGATGAGAATCATAGGTACACGGGGGTTGTAGAAGAAATTTCTCTTGCCCTGGTCTAATCAAAATTAGGCGGAATGACTCTGCACGCCCTACGGGCGTGAGAGGCTCGCGCGCCTCGCGCGTGTGTGACTCTTACGGTAAGCTAAACCGATTTTGAGAAAAAACCCGACTGTTTTGCAGTCTGCCCTTTATTTGAAAGTCAATGTATTTAGCACAAAAGTGCTGATTGAGGACACTATTTTTACATCCGCTACTGGAGACGGGAACGCCTTGGGAAGGTCAAGCCATTTACAGTGCGAAGTCCGTATCTTCATTTCTGAGTAATTAAAGTCCTTGTCCCAGGAATAGAAACCTGCGACCTCCTCCTCTGCAGTCAAGCGCTCTACCGACTGAGCTAATCCTGCCGCGGTACACGGGGCGAAATAAAGCCGGTAGGCAAATCGTCTTAGGCCCGGGAAGGGGGGGGGGCACTCCACATATGAAAGGGGTGGGGCTGCCCGTCGTCTCGCTTAGGGGTGTAAATTTCGGATTTCGGTCTCACTTAGGGTGTTCTGGGCAAAAGGCCATAATATTTAGCCGTGAAGGTCTCGTTTAGGGTTGCACGCGAAAAAAATATAACAATATATATTGTCTGTGTTTTAACATGGTCTCTTTTAGGGTTCAAAAAAAGCTTGGGCCACGCCCATCGGTCTCCTTTAGGGGTTTAATCAGCTCCTGGTTTAATTCAAAATTTCGGACGAGCACCCCCACCCCTTTCATATGCGGAGTTCCCCCCCCCCCCGGGGTCTTAGGTATTTGGTCCCACAGCGAGATAGCCTGCGAATAAAGCCATCTTTTATCGCTTCCCGCCGCTGAGAACGTTTTGCAAGAGAGCCGTCGGCATTTTGGCTACGACGACGAGAGCGATGGAGGTGGGAGGGGGGGGGGGGCTGTATTTGCGGGCTAACAGCGGGACAAACGAGATGTCATTGCAAGAAAGTAAGGACAAAACATCAAACAAAACACATAAGAACATTGTAAACAAAGCTAAAAAACCTTACCCTCCCCCTCCAGTGATATAATCGTACCCATACTCTCCCGTCAGTTCGTAGCCGTATCTCTCACCGAGCAGCGTAACTTCTTTTGGATCGTAACAAGCCAGTAATTTTTGCAATCGGGGCACACTGTGCAAAAGAATAGTCCATTTTAAGTACAAATACTTTTTATCGGATGAAATTTACGCCGCTTACTAACATTTGATTTATTGGCCTTTTCAAGTTATTGTGTCAATACCTTGGGCGTGGTTGGTAAAATGTGGTTAACACATTGTTACCAATCGACAGCAACTCTTCAGCAGCACATCAACTTCCTGTGGCATTCCATATTTCGCAATATCTCTTCAAGCGGGAATTTTAGAATGAAAACTTTCAAAACGGGTAGGACGGAGACGCTTATTCCACCTTTTAACATCATGTATGCAATTTGAATAAAAGCCGAAAAACAGGAGAGGGAATTTGTGCTTTATCTACACAGACAAAGCAACATCACGGCAAAAGTTTGATGTGCTAACATTTCTGCAACAAGACCACTCCTCCTCAAACTGCTCTTTTTTCCTTGCCACGCTACCATTAGCAGAAAATCTCGTGCCACTTTCTTGACCAATCAGGAGAAAAGTTAGTTGCTCTCTCGTTCCCGCGTCCGCTACAAGCATTTGCTTCGATTTTTGATTGGTTCAATAGATTAACATCGTCAATTGTAATTGGCTGGATTAAAAACTAATACTTTCATTTTGATTTTAGAAAAGCACTCTGACACAACAAGATGAACCGGTTTTCATACTATACGCAACTACAATCTAGGACAGAATAAAATGGAGGAGTAAACCCCATTCCCCTGAAATCAAGGATGAAGCGGCGCGAAAGCCAAGACGCACCATTTTCCCATCCTCGATTTGGGGAGGAGGAGGTTCTAAATTTTTCATCTGTTTTGTCCAATACTGTACTGAGCTCCATACTGAATCACCTCATGATTGTATCATCATCAATAACCACGAGCCAGAGTTTGTCAGCGGCTCTGGGGTCCGTGGCGGATTTATGAATGATGGCCTGTAGCTTGGCACAGTGACCTAGATAAGGAATAAAAAGACAGTTGGAATATCGATACGATACATTCTCATTAGCCTGCGAAAACATCCGTTTCTTCTCGCTCTTCGCCCCTAGAGAAGAGCTTAAACTCTCCAGCGGCGAAGAGCGCGGATGTTTTCGCAGGCTACATTCTCGTCTTGAGGCCGTCCTAATATGTGGCTATGTTAGCAGTCTGCGTAGGTGTCGCGTGTTTCTGTTTCCTTTTGTCCAAGCGGGAAAACCGTAGCCTGCGTAACTTATCCCCGCGGACATTAAATGGACAATGGAAAAACTGTAAAGAAGGCACTTCCACGGTTTCTTCAAAACTCGCCACTCAACGCGGAAAAAAAAAAAATTAGTAATTATGTTTTTGCGGGAGCGAGTTTGTGCCCTCCACCACACAAATGAAACGGTTTCGTTTTTAATATGTAAACTTTTAATATATCATTGTTCACCCCATAATAACGGTTTTGCAAGACCCCGTGGCAGGCAATGTCTCAAATCTAATTATGCTTTTAAAACGGTTTCGTTTAAGGAAACAAACATTTTGCTATTTGATCTTAAACATTCCTTAAAGAGAAATTATGGTAGCGGAATGGTTTTCATATTTTCGTTTTTGAAAGTAAAAGACAGAACACAAAAAGAACACATATTAATAAGCACACGAAACTAACCCTAAAATGGTACCGAAAAAACATTAAACTGAACGCGTTCGAAAAACCGTTCTTGTTTTACAACTTATCTTACGGCAGAAGTTAAAAAAAAAAAATGAGATTCTTCCCGAAGCGTCATAGCCGCAACGCAGAGGTCACGAGTTAAGCCAAAGGCTTCAATTTTCTTTTTCAGTTTAATCGTGATTGATTTGTCAAATCCCAAAAGTTCACTACTTACACGGTTTCTCATTCATTTTTACCTCAAAATCTCTATCTGTATTGTTTTTAGAAAAAACAGCAGAACAGGAAAGCTTAAAAAACGCAAAGCTAGCCATATTAGGCCTTAGATTACCTGCCCACCTTTTCTTTGAATAAAATCTACATTCAGTGCCTTCGTTTTACATGCCCAGCCGGCACTAATATTTTCTGATAAAATCACGAAATAGTTTTTACCAATATGTAAATATGTTTCTAATAAACAACACTCGTCGGGTAAAAAACTCAACATCGAAGACCCAGGTTGTTCGCTGGAAAGCGGATTAACTTAATCCCATAATAAAATGCGCGCTAAGATTTTTGTTTTTAAATTTCAGTCAAATCAACTTTAGTTTAAACTTAGAGTCTGAAAGAGGCCAAAACGACTTTTTGCTATTCACATTTCGAAGGTCTAGACAAAAATTCAACATTAGTTCTACTTCCGAGTAAGCTTAATCCTGGTTTTAAAAACCCTGGACAAAAAGCAAAAACACTCAATGTCTAGATGTCTGTAGAACTCAATATAAGAAGAGTCTTGCATGCCCTTCCTTCCAGTTAACCTCTTTCAGGACTCATTTGGTTCCTCTCAGTAAAGGGGCGCCAGATTGACAACAGCTTATACCTCAAATTTTGAGGGCAGTCAGTTGTTAACTACCGCGAAAATGTTCGCGCAAACACAAGTTAATCTCGTACCGAGCCGGATATCGAAAGAAATAAGTTCTAAATTAATGATAAAAACAAGAGTATTAGGATTCCTTAACAAAGATAGGGTACTGTATTGATGTTCAGGAAGAACATCAGAAAGTAATAGAAAAAATTCAGCATAAGATAACAACTCCATATAGGAACGTTTTGCTAGTAATTTTGTCGACTCTCGTTGGAATTTAAGCCCTAACGTTGTTACATTTCACAAAGATAGCCGTGTCTTGGAGCCTACTTGTTAGAGTAAAGATGAGATTTAATACAGATGGTTTCCACAACTTACATAGCTTTCCTCGTTTAAAGCCCGGCCTTTGAGCTGTTAATTTAGACCCTCAGGAAAATGATAAAATTGTGGGCAGAAAACTTTCATAACATGGTCCGCCACGGCCACGAATGTTTGTGAAGTCTTCAGCCGAAATAATGTGCTTTGTAAATCACAATAAACGGGAAAATATGAAAAATGCCTGAAGTGCTCTTCAAAATCGAATATAATTGATGGTTAGTTGTTTGCTGAGAAGCAAACGATGACTGATATTCTTCCAGTAAACAGCCGGCTTCAACCTTTATCGCTTTTAAACAGATTATTTGTCTGCTTTATGTACGGGACATGTAGACAGAGAATTAAAACCAACAGATTAGAACGTCAAATTGACGTTTTTCCCTTAAAACTCAGACACTTATATTCGGAAAAAATGACATTAGAAATTATCCGCCGAAGGACGAGTTAACGACAGAGGGCAGCTAACGCAATGCCGCGAAATATTATGGATGGACATGCAAGAGGAAAGTTGGTAATGCCGCGTATAACGGGAAAGGAAGTAGATATGTTTATCACAGGAAAAAGTGCATTTAGCATTAGAAAAGCCGAAAAAGAAAGAGCGGAGAAACGTCCAGCTAAAGTATCTATAAGTAAAGTGAAACCAAGGGATGAAGTACTGACACAAGCTTCTATTATACAAAAATACCTTGAGAAACCTAGGGTGAAACTACCCGCCATCGCCAGTCAGAGTTCTAGAAGACTGAACAACGAGGAACGATATGATCTGCAAGCTCTTCTACGAGTGCGGTGCTTTGATTTTTCCCTTCAAGTTCGACAAATGATTCCGGAATGGACCAGGTACAGATCAAACACAAAATCATCGACTTCGTCATCTTCGTGTTTCCAGCCGCGTTACGAAACGTTTGGTGGTGGCAAGGGAATCCCACGCAAGGGCTTGCCATTTGTCATGTATAATCAGAATAATCGCAAAGACGACCCTCTTCACAATGTCTCATTGAACGACAAGTGCAATGTATTACCACTATCATCTTCGATTCTCCAGGGACAGCGAGTGAATTTACGAGAGAAATATAAAATTGATACAAACAATGGAATCGACTTCATGTGGGAAAACTTACCCAATAAAAGATTTTATTCAGAAAAATTTAGACGCTCTCAACAAGGCTATTAAAATCCTGACATGGACGAGACAAGCATTTGACCTTACAAGTTCTGTTAAAGACCACGCGCACGCGACAATAAAACTCCAGAGACTTCAACAGGTCTGGCAATCTTATAACGCAAGCGATCGATCTGACAGAGATCTCTGATCAATGACTTCTCGTTGCAACATATGTTGTCACGGCGACGGAGACTGGTAGGTCCCCAGCAGTCTCTCAGGTGACGACGCGTTTCCTCTTTAATAAATTGAAACATCGAGACGAGAAAGACTAGGACGAGTCAGAATCAGATACTACTAGGTAGTACGTAGACTTCTACAAGATTTCTGACGACTCAGTTATTTGTATCCTGTGACAGAGTTTAATATGAGCTCCTGCTCTCTTCAAAGCGCGCCAGTGTCCTGGTTACGAAACGATTAGTCTTTGTGTTAGGAACAAATACAACAATGATTTATTAATAAAGATGTCTTTCTTCATTTCTTTGATGTAGCTTTGGGTATGTTTTAGGCCATTTTGATATAACTAACTGAGTTATTTGTTTCTGAACGACACGCGACGCACGTCGACCGGCTTTTGCATTCTTGGGCAACGATTTTGCCCAAATTTTCGGCTAAATCGGCTCTGCAAGAGTGAAGATTGTACAATTTTGGTAGCACCATGGCATATACAAAGAGGGAAAGCCTCACTTGTCTTTGCTTTAGAGCCCTACTACCCTCTCCTAAGTCCTCACTCCTACCACTTTCCGTATTCGGAACTCCAATGTCCTCTGTTGGTATGGACGAATCTTTAGTCTCACTGTAGTAAACTATATGTTTAGCGTATTGACCGACGGTTTTCTGGACAACAGGCACTGAAAAAAGATTAAAAGAAAGAGTCGTTGTTCAAGACATAAGGCAATGCTATCACAGATTTGACTAAACCCACACAGCAAAAATCCTAGATTGATTCATTGCCCTGTCAAACGCAATAACCAGTCCACAAACATTCGCATGGAGTAGTAGATGATATTTTCGGGTGAATATTAGCAGTTTGGTAAGAGCACAGTAAAGGATCCGCCCAGAAAATGGGCGGCAAGCCACACGTAAGAAATGTGGAGGAAGAAAATAGCTTTGTTGAAGTTTCTTTCACTGCGCTAAAACAAAATCCAGTTACGGAGGGGATTCGGATGAATATGGATGCGAAGTTATTTCTTAAAACTACCTCGACTTTTGTGGTACTTCTTTGTAGTCTTGACGGCAAAGAAAATTTGGTCCAAAGATAGATCACCCTGTGGAAAAAATGCACAGGTAACCCCCAAAAAACGACACAGTAGCTATTCTTAGACGACATTTTGACTACAAAGTTTCTACTGAGGAAAATTTGATTTAAGTTAAAGGTTTTGATAGTTTAGGAAGGTAGATAACAAGAAGTTAAATTAGGAAATACACCCTAGAGTTGCCAAGTAAGAAAGAAGTTTGCAACGGTTTCTAAGCGAGGAAACACAGAAGTTAACGGCGGGAAAAGTGGGTCCTTGGCTTCGTTCCTTTTCGTTCATTCTTTAGATTTGCGAACAAAAACTAGTTACCATTTAAGTATTTGAATGTCAGTCTAAACATTTGAACGTTCGTATATCAAACACAAACACTCACACATTCCGGGCCGCCACCTTTGACTGACGTCACGCAGTCGTGTTGGTCCCTTGGGTCGCTGGTGCAGAGTTCTGGGACGTCTGTCAGTAGCGTACCTCGACCCGCATAACGAATGAACATTGCGACCTACGAGAAATGATAAGATTTTTAAATGACAATGCATTGAAGACAGTACTGAGTTTCCTTTTCCAGTCCGTGATATATTAGACTGGTATCCGTCAAATTTGATATGAAAAGGAGAATCTGTTATTGTCCAAATGAGAGCTGGTTTGATGACACACTTTTAATAGCTAACTTGGAGTGTGCTCTGATTACTTCTTATATAAATTTCTTTCTTATGTATTTTCTTATATAGTTTCTTTCGTAGGCCACGCCCACACGTATCTGTTTCAAAACGAGATCAGTTTTCCCCCCCTGTTTGGCCAACTCAGTGGTGGATCCAGACCGTCAGATAAGGGGGGGCAATCATCCAGACCCTGAGATAATGGGGGGCTTGGTTCCCCCGATTTTTTTTCAGCTCTTCGGGCCTCAGTTTGGTCTATAAATAAGGGGTGGATCGGGCCCCCTGGACCCCTCCCCTCGATCCGCCACTGCTACTGTTCACACGTATCCGGTGAAAACGGTCAGCGATAACGCATGTTTTCAAAAACACTCTCCAGACAGGAGATTTTTAAAATGCCGACTTATCGTGTGGACGGACAAAAACGGAGGTTTTCGAATACGATATCATGATGTCATACATCATACAGAGCACGTCCTGTAAGGCTTGCAATCGTAATTCCATTCTTCGTAGCGTCTTCGTGTGGACGGGCAAAAACGAGTTCGAATACGCTACGTGTGGAGGCTTTTTTTTCGACAATGGACAAAAAAATCTCCTTTTTCAAAAATATCCGGACACGTGTGGAAGAGGCCTGAAAGTGTCAAAAAAAAACTACAAGAAAGAGTTTATTATTCGTAAGAAAAAAATCCGGTTATTCGTGCAAGAAACGCATGGACGACTCATTAAAAAATGTTGGATTGCCTTACACGACGACTAAAATGTCCAGGGTGTGAATTGATAGGAAAGGTCCTCAATTAATTTTATCTACGAAAGTCAGAGAATTGTACAAAGCGTTTGAAACGCTCGTTCATAGGCATTGTTTTGCATGGTTCCGTGAAAAATAGTGAGCAATTATCTGGCGGAAAATTCTCATCGACTTATCGATACATATGAAGTGCGCTCAAGTTCATGCCATCATGTTCTTTTGTTCAAGATGTGCGTCTTCGTCGTGCTATTAGTATGCTTGATGCGAAACAGCCAATGAAATTTCGTGAATTTCGATCCGATTGCAAAGTAGGTAACAGAAATTTTCCAATAAATAGCGATTGACTGAAAAATTTCTTGACCAAAGGCACAATTTGAGAGGAGACAAGAAGAAAACTATCGAAGATGCCTAAAGTAAAGAAAGATGAGAAGTCGAAGTCTGTTGGAAGACCCAAGAGTGTTGAAGGCAAAGAAAAACGATGAAAAAAAGGACGACAGACCTACAACATCTACATTTACAAAGTTCTAAAGCAGGTACACCCTGACACTGGCATTTCGGGTAAAGCTATGAATATCATGAATTCGTTCGTAAACGATATCTTCGAGAAGGATAGCTTCGGAAGCGTCTAAGCTGACTTCATACAAAAAAAGTCGACTCTCAGTTCCCCCGAGATTCAGACTGCAGTCCGGTTGATTTTGCCTGGCGAATTGGCGAAGCACGCGGTAAGCGAAGGAACCAAGGCTGTAACAAAGTACACATCGAGAAGCAAATAAAAGCCCGCTGAGCACTCTTCATTTAAGTTTTTCCTTTGAGGACAAGAGACTGTTTTGTTGGTTCGTGTGTTGTATAAACTCGCCAGGACATTACATTGAGACTTTTTATCTCGTATACACTCCATTCAACTGACTTGCTGAGTTATTTCTCTGTGAAAAGTAAACAATTTACGTATAATAGTATTAAGTATTGAATTGCGTACCTCGTATTGTACATCGATGGACAAATATGACTGTAGCGAGGCTGCGATAAGTCTTTTACTTAATCTGTAAATAAGAAAGTAAGTAAATGATACTGTATTTATGATGTAAATTAGTTGTTTTAAGTTAACTTGTCTTGAGTTTATAAAGATTATTTTTTGTAGCAATATTGTACATAGACGAATAAATGATTTTCAGCACACGTTTTTGCGGGTTATTACACTGTGGAATTCGCAAAGCATGTATGAAGTGGGAAACCGCACAGAGCAGACAAAAGATGCAGTATACATTTTGTCAAGACACTGTGAAATGAATTACCTTCACCAGAAATTGTCCACTATTAACCACGAATTGTTAGGCAACATTTCCGTACATCCTCGTACATTAAGCCTACTTTTCAATAGCGATGCCGACAAGAAAAGATAATATATACTTTGCCCACGAATTAAACGGCCCAAACGCAAGGATAAGCACAAACAAATGATCACCACAAAGACTAAATACAATAGGGCCATTTATACGAGAAAAAATAAGACGCGTCTTAAATAAGACGCGAACTTTCCGTATTAACGGCTCATTTCGTCTAAAATAAGACGCGGCTTAGCTAAGACGCGTCTTATTTTAGAACAGCCCTTAACACCTGTTCTTAGATAAGACGCGTCTTAGCTAAGACGAGAAAAACTTCGTATAAATGGCCTTCGCGTCTTACATAAGACGCGAACGCATAATACACATGCGTAAATTTTGGGCGCGCCACGTTGTATTGCCGTTGCTACGGGCAACATTCACATGAAAACGAGTCAAGAACAGAAATAAGACGCGAACCATTTATACGAGCTGTTCTTGTCTCAGATAAGACATGCTCGTATAAATGGTACAGTTGGCGGCTTATTTAAGACGCGGCTTATTTAAGACGCGTCTTATGTAACACGCGTCTTATTTTTGCTCGTATAAATGGCCCTAATATTTTCTTCTTGTACTCATTTGCCTCTTAGGTTATCTTCACACTATATCGGACGGCTTTTGCGCCGCCACAAAAATCATACCGGATGGGCTTCTGTTTACACATATTAATGATGACGGCGTTTTTGATGATTTTCCGAAGATTTCCGACCACCTTCGAAGCTTTTTCAAATTGTCCCGAAGACCAGACGAACGTTCCCGAACATTTTCCGAGAATTTCCGAAGATTTCCGAAATTGCCGGGCTCTTTCGGGGACGATGATACATCAATGAATTTAAGGAATTTAAGTACAATTTAAGAGACAAACCTGATGTCAGTGAAATTATCGATATCTTCAAGAAAAATATCCGTGATTTCGGTGGTAGAAATCCTTGTAAAACACTGCAGTTTATATAATAAAAACACCTATCCGATATGTGACTTTCCACTTTACAGATCGGCGAGGCGCAGTGTCACTCCGTTGTAGAAATCGCGACTCATGTATGAACGTCCTACCTGGTATGGTTTTGGCTCCGGTACAAAACCTATCTGGTATAGTATGGACACCTATCCCAGGGGCGGATCTAGGGGGAGGGTGTAGGGGGTGCGCACCCCCCTTCCTGAGATGACCTGCGGTTTTCTAATACAACTGGTATTCTGCTTAAATAATAACTATAAATAATAATAACTATACCGTAAATATTCTATTACCCCCCGGGGAACTTATTTAATTTGGCGAAGATGGTGCTATCAGCTCTCCATAAAAAGCTAGCATGGAAAGTGGAAAAGCTCAAGTCCAAGAAGTTGGAGGTCATACAGGCGAGAATCAAAAACAAGTCCGAACTTCCAACAGGTAAATAAACCATCGCGGATCGGTCCAAATAAAGTTTTACAGTCATGATTGATTTATACAGTCTATCATTTATTAGTGAACAATAATAAGGTTGAAGGGAAGGGAGGCTTTAAAGAGATGGTGGGTTTATTAACTTTCTTCCCCTGAAAATGGAGGGGGGAGGTTATTAGAGAGGGGGGTTAATAGTGGATTTACAGCAATTACAGGGGCACCCAACGGCAATTTTCGGAAAATATCTGTTCGGAAGACGATTTGAGATCTAGAATTTTCGGAACATTTGTTGTAAAATTTCTTGCTTGCCTGCCTCTCCTAGGATTTTCGAACATCTACAAAATGGTATAAATATCCCATTTGTAAGGGATTTTTACCCTAAAAAAAGGCCACCTAGAATTTTCGGGAGCCTTGTCCTGGCTGAAATTTTCGAAAAGGTAAGTTTTCATCCCTATAATTTTCGGATCACTAGACTTTCAGCTAGGAAATCCGAACAGATGAAAATTTTTAAGGGGATAAAAATATGCCTATATCTACCGTTTAGATACTAAAATACGTTCAACAATGCTATGTTAAGTGGTTTTGAACTATACCCTCGTTGGGGCCGGTGCCCCTGTAATTATATATTACGCGCGTTATTTTGGCCGTTACTTTCTCCAAGATTTCGCCATATTGTTTCCTATTGACGATGTTTCACGACACAGCTTAAAGAAGGAACGTTATATTGTATACATTTATTACAAAACCTCATAGTAAGAATGAGAGATTGACAGACGAGTGGTTGACATATAATTAAAGGTTGTGTTGAACGTGACAACCAATCAACTACAGCTACAAGAAAAAACTTGGGATCCTAACACGCATGCCACGATTTTCTACGTTTATTCGCGTCTACACTAGCAACTGCCCGACACTAACGTGTGTAAACAGATCTTGTGAACATTTCCTCATTTCACGATAAACCCTTTCGTGGGCACGCCTGTCAAGTCTGGACGGAACGTAACCAAGACCTCTCGAACGGATATTCCGTGAAAATGATTCGTTTCGTGGTCCCACTTCTAAGATCCTGTCTGATATGCCTCTGATAAACTTTTGTGGAAAAGAGGGTTCTCGTAACGAGACTAAAACTAGGAAATTTCCGTTTCAAAAGATTACCGCAAAATTTGAGTCGGGGAAGAAAAACTGCTTTATTTGTCTTTTTTTCATAAAAAAAAAAAACTTTGAATCTAACTTGCCTGTTCAGTAAGGGTACAGATAAAGCCCAACCAGCGGCAAAGTCAGGGAAAGAGAACCAAGAAAAATCAAAGTAATGGATGATTGCGGGCTCTTGGTCCTGAATTGCATGCCCAATAAACAGCTCCTGTTAAAAAGACGACAGTAAATTACTCAATTCAATTATTTGGTAGGATAATCATGTCTATTTAAAAAGGTAAACATTGTTATTTGGAGTGGCTGACGTTCTTTGTGCGAGTTTTCCCACGCACCGCAACCCCTACACGCCAGTTTGAAACATTTTCTTGCACTTGTGATTAGTTTACTGGACTGTGATTGGCTACCCACCGTAGCAGCAGATCTTATTACAGGCCCGCACGAGGGGAACACGCAAAGTTGAGAGGAGGCGCCTGCAGCGAAAGCCCTAGTTTTCCGTTTTCTACGTTCTCTGACGCTGCGTAGAAATTGCCATTGGCTAAGAACGCCCCTTGGGAGTGAGTCTGTCTCCTCAATGCATTATTTATCAGTCAATGGCGCATCCTCGAGATTTCTTCCTTCACCCTTAAAACACTGGTGCCTGCTACGCAGGCTAGTGATTGGCTAGAATAACTAGTTTTGTCTACGGTTGACTCAACATAATTCACATTATCTTAGTACTAGTCACAAGGTCTTGATTGCATCGATGGAATTAATTGCTGGACCACAAACCATACAATCCCATGACTTTTACTATTGAAATACACACAGTATTTGTCCGTTATTCTTACCAGTACAAAATCTAAATGTTAAGGGCTTTTAAATTAAATAGATCAACTATTTTATTTATGCTCTTTCAATCTGTGGTATTTTAGGGATTGAATCCCATAATAGACCATTTTAAAGTTGTGGGCTTAGTATCCTAGCTTTTGGGGGAACGTGAGGCTGAGGTTGACCTTGTTTTCATACAAACCTCTTTCCTTTTCTTATGGAAATTATACTTGAAAAATACTAGTTAGCATAAGAACAACATGATTTACATAATAAAGCAGGAAGGGTTGAAGCAAAACAAGGTCAACTCAAGCCTCTTTTCCACCTGTAACTAAAATGGGCTTATTTGGTACAAGAAAGACCTTGTTACTCCTGCTGCAAAGGGCTAATTTGTATCAACAGTGTCTGTGTTTACTGTTTTAGGGATGGAGGAGATTAGCCTGTGCCAGGCTCTCGGTCAGGGCAGATGAGCAAAAAATGTGGGCGAGCCGTGGAAAAGCAAACTAGCGATAAATGCCGTCTCTCCACAGCTCACCCTGCAACATTTTTCAATGTGCTTTTCCCACTATCTTGAAGCCTGGAACAGGCTAGCAGGAGATGGAAAAAAATTAACTAATAATCAGGTATTGTTTTCAGCCACCTTTCTCGCATCATGTTTACTTAAAACTTGCACCAGCCCAAAAAGGTTGATAATGGTTTCTTCCTCACAAAAAAATATCCACCGTTTGTTGTCTCCATAATCCTCAGCCAAACTGAAATATAATTGAAAATAGAATACTAGTAACAAAGCAATAAAACCACTTTTCATAAATAAAATGACAATACAGGGGTGCCTGCTTACTAGAGCGGTGACCTTATTCAAATGAGGTGCTCACATACTATAAAAATAAACATGCCATACACTCTTTTTCCAGCACAATGAATGCACACCATATTTTGATGCCAGACAGATTGGTGCTATGCCCACAATAAATGATGATTAAATTTCAAGGTAATTGGAGACCTATTTTATGCGCACAGGCTTCTGGGATTGCTAGGGGGCAAACAATGAAAGTCGGTAATTTCAACACTCCAACATAAAATCATGAGGAAAGTGAGTAAGTCTATACCCGAAGACACTGCTTTTGACAGAGACATTACTTTGCACATTCATCTCTTTCTACGACTTGCAGTGTTTGAATCATCCTGTGTGCAAAACGTGGTCTACGATTGCCTTCAAAATCATCCCTTCTGTATAGACTAAAACGAGTGCGTGGGCCGGCTGCAACGCAGGCTAGTCTACGATTACTGGAAAATCATTCATTGACCTTACCCGTTAATGATTGGAACAATCGTCCATGCTCCAAGAGGAGCCCAGTCTTCATGCATCATCTTTAGTTCTAAACTATCCTAACAAAAGTGACCAAAAAAAGCAATTTATTCACATAAAGCCATCAGCCTGACATCCCCTACTGCTTACACATTACTTGCAAAGAGATAATGGATGCCATCAATTTCTTGACAGTGATTATCTTTGTTGGCAAATTACAGGAAAAGGTACCCCTTTCATATGACCAACATGGACGTGTCTTTTTAATCTCTGTTTGCTTTAGTTCTTTTGCCGACTTTGTAGAAGACAATTATTGTATTGTTGCCCACCTTGAATAGCTCCGCTAATTGTGGGTAACATAGACTAAAATTATTTGATAACTAAATAAACTGTAAAAATAAATAATAATAATAATAATAATAATAAATAAATAAAGTGCGTCCTTCACATACCTTGCATTCCTTTTAACTGCTCTAAATGCGCTGTCTTTTAAATATGAATAAATCACAAACCAGAACTTTTTCTCAACTTTTTCTCACCCATAAAATGCATCTGTTAGCCCCTTGGGCCTTTTTACAGACTAAGATGACAGATTTCCCTACCCTTTCATATACTCCACCTAGCAAACCCCCTACCCTGAAGCCTGACAGAGGTACCCCTTCCTCGTTTTGGCCATTATAGGAAGTACTTCCCTCCTGGGTCTCCAGGCCAGCACTCTACTGGCTGAGCTACATTGTCATACCTTTTCTCCCATTGCTTCTGCCTGTTGAGTCAGGTCATCCCTCATTGCTTTTGCTTTTTTGACATGATATCTATTGTGTTGGCTTCTCACAATAACAACAATGTCTTTCAAGGCTGCAGAAAACATAAAGGAAGAAAATAACAAAACTAAGAGATGCAGAAAAAGATAAATCCCTGCTCAATGATTTCAGTCATGGATTCCATTAAGGCTTGACATATTATCAGAGTAGAATAGAGCAATAATGAATATGCGTAGCTGGGTATTTACCTACTGAGGGGACATCTGCCTCATTTTCTACTTTGGAATCCTAAAAAAAATAATGATCAAAGTTAGTATGAAACTGCATACTGTACATGTTTAGGATGGGCGCACGTAATGTTATGACTTTTTATAAGCAGATTAGGAAAGTGAGGGCCTGTTAGGGTAAAATTCTGATAAGCAACATGGCCTTGAAATAGCAACATAAGCCCAGATGAAAAGGGCAACAGATGACACAAAGATGGGTTGAAACTGCGACAGCAACAGAGAAAATCGCAAATACAATAGAAAAATACCAACAGCGACATGGCTAATTTTCTCCTCAATACGTGAAATTACAAGTTTTAAAATTCAGTCTAGGGACACAAGTAACCCCCCCTAAGAGGGCCTAATTAGCCTAAGATTGGGCATGGGAAGTAATGAATAGGAAAGGTCCACACCTGATTATTTTGGTTGGTTTTAAAACCAATCATATTCCTCAAAATTTTACGACTAAGTTGCTTTTACAGTACGACTACTATAACTGGGGTCACCTAGACAAAGTTGACCAATCAGATTACAGGAAAATAACAATACATTGTGAGAAAGTTAGTTGTCAATCAAAATTGAAATGCCGGTAAGCAGCATGGATTAAAATTAATTAACCAATTGTAACATACAGACATTACGTTTTGAACCTGCTGAACAAAACCTGTGTTTTTTGAGGGATCTGTTAGGGTAAATGAAGCAGACAAAAAATGTAAACATTATTAAATTTCTGTTTTGAGGTCATGATGTTATTGCAAAGCGAGGCAATGGTAGTGAAGAAATTGCTGGTAGATGAGAAAATAATGGCTTCTGTCAAACAAATATGTCTCCTGAGTGTTATATGTAAGGTTGCGAACATTGTCTGGTGAGAAACTTTGCTTTCTTGGAAAACATTTGCTATCAATATTTGAATTTTGTGCTTCAAGTAACTTATTGTCTTTTTACGAGCTGCTGAGTGGCCCACAACCGACTTTCTTGGAACGTATTGTTATTTTACTATAATCTCACTGGTCAACTTTGTCCAAGTAGCCCCAGTTACAGTAGTCCCCACTGTAAAACTATAATGAGGCGGAGAATTGCATCTGTTGAATAATAACAATGGTCGATAAATAATTCAGTTTACAAGGGTCGATAAATAATTCAGGATGGTTCAATGTCTCAATAACCTTAGTTAATGGTTGACTCAAACTTAAATATTGTTATCAAATGCAATACAGGTATTCTCATTTTTTAATACGCTATTTCACTGAATTCAGAAAATTGAAAGTTTATAATAAAATCTATGTGGTATATAGAGAATACTTCATGGAAAGTGCTGGCGTACGGTATTTACGCACGAATTGTTGACGTATCAGAAATCGAACGAGTGAGCGCAGCGAACGAGTAAGATTTCTGATACAAAAACAACGAGTGCGTAAATACCGTACAAAGCACTTTCCATGTGGTATTGTGTTTATTATATACATACTGAGACATTCATCATTTTGGCGGCCTTTTTATTTTAAATCTTTCAAAAATGCTAAAATTTCCCGCTACACACTTACCGCAAAATGACAACGAAAACGAAGTATAAAAACGTTTGTTAAAAACATAAATGATGGTGAGGATATAAGGTAATTCAAGAACTATAAGTGATCTTAACTGTTTTTCACTTTTTTAGCGACAAAAACTCTTTGAGTAAAACTTTTCTCGTTGAAAATGTGCGAAGCGGCGTTGCAAATTGCAATAAAAGGCGGGAATTTTGGCGCGAAACTCCGGGCGCGATCCATTCAACCAAAATTTCCGGAAATTTCGATCCAAAACTCAATGGATCGGTTCGGTCCAACCGGAAAAGTTTCGAAAAAACGGGTCCACCTTTTGAGGTGGACCACTTTTCCCGGTCGGACCGGTTGGAATTTTGGTTGAATGGATCGCGCCCTCACACACCCCCGTGGCTTCTGATTGGACGTATCATTTTTCTCACACGTGAAAAAACATCGTTCGCGATTCTGATTAGACGTATCATGTTTTTCACGTGTGAAAACGATCGTTCGCTCCTCTGATTGGCTAGAACTAATTTGCGTACGAAAATTTACGACATAGCTTTTTGGCGAGTATTTCTCAGTATGCGTATAATAAATCTTATTACACTTCAGCACTATACAGTATCATGGACCGTGGTTTATTGAGAGCCTGGGCTTAGCTTATGAAAAGAGTTTTTTTATGATATAAGCACAGTAGATAATCTTGGTCACGACTAAGCTATTGAAGGTGAAGATCTGAAGTGAAAGACACTCTTGTCTGTGAAAACCAGGTAGGTTATTGTATGTGCACTGGTGATTTAGGTGTTCTTCTATATTGGTACTGGTAATCGAACCACCCTAATGACTATCACTTGCGATGTAGAAATAGCCTAAAATTCATCCGATTGCTTCGAGTCGTTTTCTCCTCTCAACGTTACTGAGAGAGTAATAACGACTCGAAGTAATCGGATGAAATTCGGGCTAACGAAAAAATAGCCCAATATTTTTAAAAGGCCAGACAACAAAAGACTCGAATGCATAAGTAATCGCGATCCCTGATGAACAATGGTAGTGTGTGGTGAATGAAAACAAAAATTTGGGGGCAAGAATGAGAAAAAAAATATAAAGATGATCTCAGAAGCAGTGATATTTAGTTTAAAAAAAATCTATAAATGATCAAGAGGCCATACCACTAGAGCGCGAAATTCGAATCTCGACTGGGCAGCGTCTGGACCAAAATCCGCGAAATCGTTCGCATGGATTGGTACTAAAATATGACAAAACGTTCATATTAAGTAATTTTAAGGATTTAAGGAATGCATTTTACATGAAGATAAAGTGACCCACACTTACCAAGAAAAAGAAATGAACAGATCAGCTGAAAAGCACATGTCATTTTGCGAGAAAACTGTCTGAATGAACTGACGAGAGGAGACTGGAAACAACGTTTTTTTCAACCTCGTCCCCAGGGCTTTTCCCCAAAAAAATGGGTGGGGGCAGTTACTTGGCGTAATTGAGTGTCTTGGCTTACTTCAGTAACTTGGCGTGCTTGAGGTACTTGGCTAACTTTTGTGTCTTGGCCTACTTCAGTAACTTGGCGTGCTTGAGGTACTTGGCTAACTTTTGTGTCTTGGCCTACTTCAGTAACTTGGCGTGCTTGAGTGTCTTGGCTTACTTTGTGTCTTGGCCTACTTCAGTAACGTGGCGCGCTTGAGGTGCTTGGCTTACTTTTGTGTCTTGGCCTACTTCAGTCACTTGGCGTACTTGAGTGTCTTGGCTTAGTAACTTGGCGTGCTTGAGGTACTTGGGTAACTTTTGAATCTTGGCCTACTTCAGTTACTTGGCCTGCTTGAGTGTCTTGGCCTACTTCAGTAACGTGGCGTGCTTGAGGTACTTGGCTTACTTTTTTTTGTCTTGGCCTACTTCAGTCACTTGGCGTAGTTGAGTGTCTTGGCTTACTTCAGTAACTTGGCGTGCTTGAGGTACTTGGCTAACTTTTGTGTCTTGGCCTACTTCAGTAACTTGGCGTGCTTGAGTGTCTTGGCCTACTTCAGTAACTTGGCGTGCTTGAGTGTCTTGGCCTACTTCAGTTACTTGGCGTACTTGAGTGTCTTGGCCTACTTCAGTAACTTGGCGTGCTTGAGTGTCTTGGCCTACTTCAGTTACTTGGCGTGCTTGAGTGTCTTGGCTTACTTTTGTGTCTTGGCCGACTTTAGTAACTTGGCGTGCTTGAGGTACTTGGCTAACTTTTGTATCTTGACCTACTTCAGTTACTTGGCGTGCTTGAGTGTCTTGGCCTACTCAGTTTTGTGTCTTGGCCTACTTCAGTAACTTGGCGTGCTTTAGGTACTTGGCTTACTTAAATGTCTTGCCCTACTTCAGTTACTTGGCGTACTTGAGTGTCTTGGCTTACTTTAGTAACTTGGCGTGCTTGAGGTACTTGGGTAACTTTTGTGTCTTGGCCTACTTCAGTTACTTGGCGTACTTCAGTGTCTTGGCCTACTTTTGTGTCTTGGCCTACTCCAGCGTATTTCCTCTAATAATAGCCGTCCCTCGATTAATCGCGTCCCTCGAATAATCGCCCCCCTTTGATGGAAATATTTAAGATAATCGCCTTCCTCGACTAATCGCTTGTTACCCCTCTCGCCATCTTCTCTTTTTTTTTTTATCCCCTTTCTGTCAAGTGGAAGTGGAATCTGATCCAGCGAAACTGGTCAGTAATAATAATAATAATAATAATAATAATAATAATAATAATAATAATAATAATAATGAAAATATAATAATTTATATATACTACATAAGTAGAGAACTGAGAGATCTTGCATTTCTGCACCTGCAAAATTTGCTTTAAACAACCAGAACATGTTGTAGAATGACAATGACAACCTTTCATGGGAAAGATGTTAAAATGGGAAAATAAGGGGCTGTTTACATGGAGGGAGGAAGATCCTTTTACTAGGAAGATCCTAGAAGGTGGATCAACTTTACGTTGGGTTTACATGCAGGAATTTCGGTCCGTGTGGTGTCCAAATATTGAAGGTTTGCGAAGGCAGGGGTATAGATTTTCAAAAATACTTTGTGTCTGGTAGAATGAAGGCGGTCGCCATGTCTGTCGCCATGCGTTGTAAACCAATCCATTTTGTTTTGTTAACTGATACGTAGTTTTTGCATTTAAACAGTACATGGCAGTTTTCGGTGGCCAAAATAACAAATTTAAATCAAAATCTAAAGACTAAGAGCATAAGTGTCTATGGTATACACATTGACGTTTACTGATAGTTTTTAAAAAGTCTTATAAACTGCTAAACTATTGGAACCTTGATCTTCAAATAAACAACTACAACTTTCGGGGTTCATAATTTATCGGGACTTTCGAGAAACGGGTTCTGGGGTGATTTCAACCAATATTATAAATTTAGGCTTAAAAACAATAAAAATGTGACAGCTACATTGTATACACACGCGTATGTTGCAAATTAGGAAAATGAATCCGCCCAAATTTGTCAAATTTTAAATGTGGTAAAATACTAGCAAGCAATTTTGTGAATAGAGGCGTCTATAGTTTTGTAAACAACATTATGAACTGATTGAGCTCTTTTAAATTCATCTGTAGGTGGTCGACGAAGAGTTTAGAAGAGCATTGGATCGCGCAGGTAATGATATTTTTCTTTAGTACTTACTGCGGATTGTACATTATACAATGGCTTCTAATAAAATAAATTGAGGTAAATTGATCATGCTGTAACTTATACTTTTATATAGAAGCTGAACAGAGGGCAAGAGAGCTGGCGGTAAGAAGCAAAGGAAGAAAAGGTGAGGGTGGAGTAGTTAAGGAGTAGTTTGTCCCTTATGATATCGCTCATTATATAGCCTTAACTCCTAAGTTTAGGCGTCTAAGCTGTTCTTGCTTTTTCTTGAGAAATTCTAATTTTCCACTGAGCTGAACTAATGACTTTGTATTTCCAGAAACCTTCAGTTCTTTTGCAGTTTTACTTGCAGTTACATAGTTGTACAATATTACAATGTTAATTATACAAGAGATGTTCGTTTATGTAAGGTTCTTACTATAGGGATTCGACGCAAAAGATTTTGGTGTTTTGAATCAGCAGTAACTTATGAGAGGTGGCCTGTTACGAGAGATGGTCCGAGAGTAAATATCCTTTCAAAACCTAGCGTACGGTTTTGCGTTAATGCTTAAGACGGATGCTTCGTAAATCCTAGGCCAGGTTTGTAGAGCGCGGCGTCCTCAGATGATCAAAATAAAAAAAGAAAAAAGACTAAAAGAAACTGAAAATTAAAAATTTATTTTTATTACTGCATGAGATATATTAAACAATTAAGCACATATACTGATCTCCAGACACACATCCGTTTAGTTCCCTTGAGCGGTTTATGACATTTCACAATGTTTTGTAGAAAAATTATATTTTATACAAAGACCCCGACTATGAAAGATATTTTTTACTTTTGAGATATTGCCACTTTTTTCCCTTCTGTATTCTTTTCCCTTAAAGAACCATGATTTTCGTCATCCCTTTCACTGACGAAATTACGAAACCATGGACACTTGGTCTCCGACTCGTTCTCAGAACACGTGCGAGCGATTGTCAACAGAAGTGTTGAGAAAACGATGACGGATCCAATTCAGCGTTTGCATACCTATGTTACAATTATCGGCCCTCATATTGAGTAAAAATTGGTTGGAAAGTCCCTTATTTTGCTTTGAATGTTGGGTGGCTCCACTGTATTTTTATTTTCCTTTAGGAAGCGTTTCAAGTACAACACCTAAGAAATAAAGGACGTTATCAACTCAGATAGTCTTTGTAGACAGTGAGTGGATCTAGATCGTTGTGTTTGTGGAAGGAGATGGGCGTTTGATGGGCCAGAAGTGATGGAACATATTCATTGGGTTTGGCCTGCAAAAGAACGACAACAAACATAATTAATAACAACTCTTCATGCTGCACAGTAAGAAATGATGTCCTTTACAAGAAATATTTCATGTTGTCTCCGGCAACAACAACAGCAACGCCCCAACGTCTAAGTTAACAAAAGTGCAACCCTCTCTCGGGCATTAGTTAAAGAAAAATATGAGCAAAAATGTGTCAGTCTTGTCAGTGACCAGATGACGGTGACCAGCATATTTGGTCGTGGAAAGCACGATTAAAGCCATTATCTCTCTTTACTGAGTGAGTCTAGAGATTCCTCTTAACACGTGGCAGGCGTTCCAAGAGGAAGCCCAAGGGGAAATTTGGGCGCCTGCAGGCTACAGAATCTCGTGCCATTTGACCCTACACTTGGTCAAGTTCTGGATGGAGAGAATACCTATCCTTCCTCCATCAAACAAGGTTCTAAAGAAATACAGCAAAAGGTATCACAGAACATACCTGGTGAAAGGCGGGGCTATGCGTAAGAGGTATTCCCAGTCTTCGGAAACAATTCCCAAGCCACATGTCGTCCGGGGAGTCTGGTTCCCAGCAGTTGCAGTTGCTTTTCAGTAGAGCATCAATACCAGCTCGACTCAGGATCATTCTAAAAGAAAATATAAATACTGATAAGAATTATAAGTACACGGGGGTTGTAGAAGAAATTTCTCTTGCCCTAGTCCAATCAAAATTAGGCGGAATGACTCTGAACGCCCTACGGGCGTGAGAGGCTCGCGCGCCTCGCGCGTGTGTGACTCTTACGCTTAGCTGAACCGATTTTGAGAAAAAAAACCGACTGTTTTGCATTCTACACTTTATTTGAGTGTCAATGTATTTAGCACAAAAATGCTGATTGAGGACACTATTTTTGCATCCGCTACTGGAGACGGGAATGCCTCGCGAAGGTCTAGCCGTTTACAGTGCGAAGGCCGTATCTTTATTTCTGAGTAATTTTAAGTCCTTGTTACAGGAATCGAAACCTGCGACCTCCTCCTCAGTCTGCAGTCAAGCGCTCTACCGACTGAGCTAATCCTGCCTAGGTACACGGGGTGAAATAAAGCCGGTAGCCAAATCGTCGTCTTAGGCATTTGGTCCCACAGCGGGATAGCCTGCGAATAAAGCCATCTTTTATCGCTTCCCGTCGCTGGGAACGTTTTGCGAGAGAGCTGTCGGCATTTTGGCTACGACGACGAGAGCGATGATGGTGGGGGGGTGGGGGTGGGGAGCTGCATTTGCAGGCTAACAGCGGGACAAACGAGATATCACTGCAAGAAAGTAAGGACAAAACATCTAAAAAAACACATAACATGACATAAGAACATTGTAAACAAAGCTAAAAAACCTTACCCTCCCCCTCCGGTGATATACTCGTACCCATACCCTCCAGTCAGTCCGTAAGCGTATCTCTCACCAAGTAGCGTGACTTCCTTTGGATCGTAACACGCCAGTAATTTCTTCAGTCTGGGCACACTATGCAAGAGAATAGTCCATTTTAAGTGAAAATGATTTTTATCGGATGAAATTTACGCTGCTTACTAACACTTGATTTATTAGGCTTTTCAATTTCATGTGTCAATACGTTGGGCGTGGAAACTGAAAAACGGGAGCGCGAATGTGTGCTTTTATAATCTACACAGACAAAGCAACATCACGGCAAAAGTTTGATGTGCCAAAATTTCTGGCAACGAGACCACTCCTCCTCAAACTGAAAGGCAAAGCTCTTTTTTCCTTTTCACGCTGCGATTGGCTGGAAATCTCGCGCCACTTTCTTGACCAATCAGGAGAAAAGTTACTTGCTCACGCATTCCCGCGCTTTACATCTGCTACAAGCATTTGCTTTGATTTTTGATTGGTTCAATAGATTGACATCGTCACTTGTGACTGGCTAGATTAAATACTTTCATTTTGATTTTAGAAAAGCACTCTGACAAAACCAGATGAGCCGGTTTTCACACTCTTTACAACTGCAATCTAGGACAGAATAAAATGGAGCAGTAAACTCCATTCCCCTGAAATCAAGGATGAAGCCACGCGAAAGCCAAGACGCGCCATTTTCCCATCCTTGATTTGGAGAGCAGGGGGCTCTAAATTTGTCATCTATTTTGTCCAATATTGTACTGAGCTTCATATTGAATCACCTCATGATTGTATCATCATCAATAACCACGAGCCAGGGTTTGTCAGCGGCTCTGGGGTCCGTGGCGGACTTATTAATGATAGCCTGTAGCTTGGCACAGTGACCTAGATAAGGAATAAAAAGACAGTTGGAATATCAATACGATACATTCTCGTCTCCGGGCCGCCCTAATATGTGGCTGTGTTAGCAGTCTGCGTAAAGTGTCGCGTATTTCTGTTTCGTCCATTTCTGTTTCCCCATTTTTCCTCAGGGATAATAGAGCGTGCGAAACGCGAGCGCCCGTGAAAATCAAAGAAAAGGCGACAGCCGCGTGCGAGCTTGCGCGGACATTCAATTCCCAAAAACTCGCACTCACGCGGACGAACGCAATCGGATGAAATTCAGGCTAACGAAAAATTCCATTAGCTACGCAAGCAAGGAGAAGTGGGAGACGTGCGAGGGAGAGCAAAAAATAATAATAATAGGAGTGGGGAAGAGGCGGTGAAGCAAAGGGTTACAAGCCGTCCCCTCCCACCCTCTCCCCCATGCCCTGACGCGTCTCCTCCGCTTCTCCCTCTCGGAAATAAAGAAACCGAAATGACTGCCACGCAGGCTGCCGTGTGGGTAGAGACCGTCACGGGCTTGATCTGATATCCCCGGCATAACTCGGAGAAGCAATGGACAGTCAGTTTCATACCCCAAGTCCTCATGCACCATGCTCGATGGGTGGGCAAAAAAAATGGAAAAACTGTAAAGAAGACCCTTCCACGGTTTCTTCAACTATTAACTCGGACCAGTACGTGAAAATCCGTCCACACGGCTAAAAAAAACCTTAAAATTAGTAAAGATGCCAAGTTTGAACGTGATTTATTGAACTTACAGAGGTTTGTTTGGTGCGGGAGTGAGTTCGTGCCCTTCACCACACAAACGTCTGTCAGTAAACTTTCGCGACCTGAAGGAGCAATTTCTTCGCTGCTGGTTTGCTTTTGCAGTCCTTTGGTCCTGTTCATTATTTTGGGATTCGCAAGACGACAAAAAAAAAAGTTTAGAAAGATCATACCCAAATATGTTTAATATGTAAACTTTTAATGTATCATTGTTCATCCCATAATCACGGTTTTGCAAGACACCGTGGCAGGCAATTCCTCAAATCTAATTATGTTTTTAAAACGGTTTCGTTTAAGGAAACAAACATTTTGCGATTTGATCTTTAACATTCCTTAAAGAGAAATTATGGTAGCGGAATGGTTTTCATATTTTCGTTTTTGAAAGTAAAAGACAGAACACAAAAAGAACACATATTAATAAGCACACGAAACAAATCCTAAAATGGTACCGAGAAACATTAAACTGAACGCGTTCGAAAACCCGTTCCGGTTATACAACTTATCTCGGCTCGCGGCAGAAGTTAAAAAAAAGAATGAGATTCTTCACAAAGCGGCATAGCCGCAACGCAGAGGTCACGAGTTAAGCCAAAGGCTTGAATTTTCTTTTTCAGTTTAATCGCGATTGATTTGTCAAATCCCAAAAGTTCACTGCTTATACGGTTTCTCATTCATTTTTACCTCAAAATCTCTATCTGTATTGTTTTTAGAAAAAACAGCAGGACAGGAAAGCTTAAAAAACGCAAAGCTAGCCATATTAGGCCTTAGTTTACCTGCCCACCTTCTATTTGAATAAAATCTACACTCAGTGCGTTCGTTTTACATGCCCAGCCGGCACTAATATTTTCTGATAAAATCACGAAATAGTTTTTACCAATATATAAATATGTTTCTAATAAACAACACTCGTCAGCTAGAAAGCTCAACATCGAAGACCCAGGTTGTTCGCTGGAAAGCGGATTAACTTAATCCGGGAATAAAATGCGCGATAAGATTTTTGTTTTAAATTTCAGTCAAATCAACTTTACTTTAAACTTACAGTCTGAAAGAGGCCAAAACGACTTTGTTGTTGCTATTCACTTTTCGAAGGTCTAGACAAAAATTCAACATTAGTTCTACTTCCGAGTAAGCTTTATCCTGGTTTTAAAAACCCTGGGCAAAAAGCAATGAAAACACTCAATGTCTAGATGTCTGTAGAACTCAAAATGAGAAGAGTCTTGCATGCCCTTCCTTCCAGTTAACCTCTTCCAGGACTCATTTGGTTGCTGTCAGTAAAGGGGCGCCAGATTGACAACAGCTTATACCTCAAATTTTGAGGGCAGTCAGTTGTTCACTGCCGCGAAAATGTTCGCTGAAACACAAGTTAATCTCTTACCGAGCCGGATATCGAAAGAAATAAGTTCTAAATTAATAATAAAAACAAGAGTATTAGGATTCCTTATTAAAGGTAGGGTACTGTATTGAGGTTCAGAAAGAATATCAGAAAGTAGGAGAGAAAAAATTCAGTGTAAGATAAAAACTCCGTATAGGAACGTTCTGCTAGTAATTTTGTCGACTCTCGTTGGAATTTAAGCCCCGACGTTGTTACATTTCACAAAGATAGCCGTGTCTTGGAGCCTACTTGTTAGAGTAAAGATGAGATTCAACACAGATAGTTTCCACAACTTACATAGCTTTCCTCGTTCAAAGCCTTTGAGGGTTTAACTTTAGACCCTAAGGAAAATGATAAAATTGTGGGCAGAAAACTTTAATAACATTGTCCGCCACGGCCACGAATGTTTGTGAAGTCTTCAGCCGAAAGAATGTGCTTTGTAAATCACAATAAACGGTAAAATATGAAAAATACCTGAAGGGCTCTTCAAAATCGGATATAATTGATGGTTAGTTGTTTGCTCAGAAGCAAATGATGACTGATATTCTTCCAGTAAACAGCCGGCTTCAACGTTTATCCCTTTTAAACGGATTATTTGTCTGCTTTTATGTACGGGACGTGTAAACAGAGAATTAAAACCAACAGATTAGAGCGTCAAATTGACGACTTTCCCTTAAAACACAGACACTTGTATGCGGAAAAAATGATATTAGAAATTATCGGCCGAAGGACGAGTTAACGACAGAGGGCAACTAACGCAATGCCGCGAAAAATTATGGATGGACATGCGAGAGGAAAGTTGGTAATGCCGCGCATAACGGGAAAGGAAGTAGATATGTTTATCACAGGAAAAAGTGCATTTAGCACTAGAAAAGCCGAAAAAGAAAGAGCGGAAAAAGTTCCGGCTAAAGTATCTATAAGTAAAGTAAAACCAAGGGATGAAGTACTGACGCAAGCTTCTATTATACAAAAATACCTTGAGAAACCCAGGGTGAAACTACCCGCCATCGCCGGTCAGAGTTCTAGAAGACTGAACAACGAGGAACAATATGATCTGCAAGCTCTTCTACGAGTGCGATGCTTTGATTTTTCCCTTCAAGTTCGACAAATGATTCCGGAATGGACCAGGTACAGATCAAACACAAAATCATCGACTTCGTCATCTTCGTGTTTCCAGCCGCGCTACGAAACGTTTGGTGGTGGCAAGGGAATCCCGCGCAAGGGCTTGCCATTTGTCATGTATAATCAGAATAATCGCAAAGACGACCCTCTTTACAATGTCTCATTGAACGACAAGAGCAATGTATTACCACTATCATCTTCGATTCTCCAGGGACAGCGAGTGAATTTACGAGAGAAATATAAAATTGATACAAATAATGAAAACGACTTCGTAAACCAATACATTAAGAGAAAGGGTGTGGGAAAACTTGCCCAATAAAAGATTTTATTCAGAAAAATTTAGACGCTCTCAACAAGGCTATTAAAATCCTGACATGGACGAGACAAGCATTTGACCTTACAAGTTCTGTTAAAGACCACGAGCACGCGACAACAGAACTCCAAAAACTTCAACAGGTCTGGCAATCCTATAACGCAAGCGATCGATCTGACAGTGATCTCTGATCAATGACTTCTTATTGCAACATATGTTGTCATGGCGACGGCCTTAAGCAAACACCATAATCGGATACTGGCAAGTCCCAAGCAGTCTTTCAGGTGACGACGACGCGTTTCCTCTTTAATAAATTGAAACATAGAGACAATTAAGAGAAAGACTAGGACGAATCAGAATCAGATACTACTAGGTAGTACGTAGACTTCTACAAGATTTCTGACGACTCAGTTATTTGTATCCTGTGACAGAGTAATGAGCTCCTGCTCGCTTCAAAGCGCGCCAGGGTTCTGGTTACGAAACGATTAGTCTTTGTCTTAGGAACAAATACAACAATGATTTATCAGTAAAGATGTCTTTCTTCATTTCTTTGATGTAGCTTTGGGTATGTTTTAGGCCATTTTGATATCTGTTTCTGAACGACACGCGACGCGCGATGAGCGACACGCGACGCACGTCGACCGGCTTTTGCATTCTTGGGCAATGATTTTGCCCAAATTTTCGGGTATATAAATCGGCTCTGCAAGAGTAAAGACACTTGATAGTACAATTTTGGTAGCGTAGGCATATAAAAAGGGAGAATGCGTCACTTGTCTTTGCTTTAGATCCCTACTACCCTACTCTAAGTCCTCACTCCTACCTCTTTCGGTATTCGGAACTCCAATGTCCTCTGTTGGTATGGACGAATCTTTAGTCTCACTGTAGTAAACTATATGTTTAGCGTATTGACCGACGGTTTTCTGAACAACAGGCACTGAAAAAGATGAAAAGAAAGAGTCGTTGTGTGAGACATAAGGTACTGCTATCGCAGATTTGACTAAACCCACACAGCAAAAATCCTAGATTGATTCATTGCCCTTTCAACGGCAATAAACGGTCCACAAACATTCGCATGGAGTAGTAGATGATATTTTCGGGTGAATATTAGCAGTTTGGTAAGAGCGCAGTAAAGGATTCGCCTAGAAAATGGGCGGCTTGCCACGTAAGAAATGTGGAGGAAGAAAATAGCTTTGTTGAAGTTTCTTTCACTGCGCTAAAACAAAATCCAGTTACGGAGGCGATTCGGATGAATATGGATGCGAAGTTATTTCTTAAAACTACCTCGACTTTTGTGGTACTTCTTTGTAGTCTTGACAGCAAAGAAGATTTGGTCCAAAGATAGATCACCCTGTGGAAAAAAAAAGCACAGGTAACCCCAAAAAACGGTAGCTATTCTTAGACGCCATTTGGACTATAAAGTTTCTACTGAGGAAAATTTGATTTAAGTTGAAGGTTTTGATACTATAGGAAGGTAGATAACAAGAAGTTAAATTAGGAAATACACCCTAGAGTTGCCAAGTAAGAAAGAAGTTTGCAACGGTTTCTAAGCGAGGAAACACAGAAGTTAAGGGAGGGAAAGGTGGGTCCTTGGCTTCGTTCCCTTTTGTTCATTCTTCAGATTTGCGAACAAAAACTAATTATCATTTAAGTATTTGAATGTCAGTCTAAGGGCCTGTTTACATGGAGGTGGGGTACCCCAGATAGGTAAGGTAACCCGCTTAGGTGGGGTAGCCCACCTGTCCATATAATCTCTCATTTTAATGTGATCACGTTTACATGTTAGGTGAGGTAACCCGCCACATGTTACCTCACCTACCTGGGGTCCCCCACCTTCATTTAAACAGGCCCTAAAGGTAGGAACATTCGTATGTCAAACAAAAACACTCACGCATTCCGGGCCGCCTCTTTTGACTGACGTCACGCAGTCCGGTTGGTCCCTTGGGTCGCTGGTGCAGAGTTCTGGGACGTCCGTGAGTAGCGTACCTCGACCCTCATCACGAATGAACATTGCAACCTACGGAAAATGATACCATTTTCAAATCACAATGCTTTAAAGACAGTACTTCCCTGCTACTTTTGGTAACTGAGTCTCCTTTTCCAGTCCGTGATATAAAAGACTGGTATCCGTCAAATTTGATACGAAAAAGAGAATCTGTTCTCAAAAAATAAATGGTATTCAATCAGTTATTGTCCAAATGGGCGCTGGTTTGATGACACACTTTTAATAGCTAACTTGGAGTGCGTTCTTATAACTTCTTATATAAATTTATGTATTTTCTTATATAATTTCTTTCGTACGCCGCGCCCACACGTATCCTGTTTGGCCAACTGAGTGGTGGATCCAGGCCGTCAGATAAGGGAGCGGGGGTGGTCATCCAGACCCTGAGATAAGGGGGGTCTCCAAAATTTTTTTTTCGGCCCTTCGGGCCTCAGTTTGGTCTAAAAATAAGGGGTGGACCGGGCCCCCTGGGCCCCTACCCTCGATCCACCACTGCCACTGTTCACACGTATCCGGTGAAAACAGTCAGCGAAAACGCATCTTTTCAAAAACACTCTCCAGACAGGAGATTTTTAAAATGCCGGCTTATCGTGTGGACGATAACGGAGGTTTTCGAATACGATATCATTATGTCATACATCATACAACGCACGCCCTGTCATTCTTCGTAGCGTCTTCGTGTGGACGGGCAAAAACGATTCGAATACGCTACGTGTGGAGGGGTATTTTTTCTACAATGGACAAAAAAATATCCGGACACGTGTGGACGAGGCCTGAAAGTGAGAAAAAACAACTACAAGAAAGAGTTTACATTTCGGTTATTCGGGCAAGAAACGCATGGACGGCTCCTTAAAAAATGTTTGGATTGCCTTACGCGACTAAAATGTCCAGAATTCATAGGAAAGGTCCTCATTAATTTTATCTAAGAAAGTCAGAGAATTGCACAAAGCGTTTGAAACGCTCGTTCATAGGCACTGTTTTGCATGGTTCCGCGAAAAATAGTGTGCAATTATCTGGCGGAAAATTCTCATCGACTTATCGATACATATGAAATGCGCGCTAGTTCATGCCATCATTTGGTTCTTTTGTTCAAGATGTGCGTCTTCGTCGTGCTATTAGTATGCTTGATGCGAAACAGCCAATGAAATTTCGCGAATTTCGATCCGATTGCAAATTAGGTAACAGAAATTTTCCAATAAATAGCGACTGACTGAAAAATTTCTTCACCAAAGGCACAATTTGAGAGGCGACAAGAAGAAAACTATCGAAGATGCCTAAAGTAAAGAAAGATGAGAAGCCGAAGTCTGTTGGAAGACCCAAGGGTGTTGAAGGCAAAGAAAAACGACGAAAAAAAGGAAGACAGACCTACAACATCTACATTTACAAAGTTCTAAAGCAGGTACACCCTGACACTGGCATTTCGGGCAAAGCCATGAATATCATGAATTCGTTCGTAAACGATATCTTCGAGCGGATAGCTTCGGAAGCGTCCAAGCTGACTTCATACAACAAAAAGTCGACTCTCAGTTCCCGCGAGATTCAGACTGCAGTCCGGTTGATTTTGCCTGGCGAACTGGCGAAGCACGCGGTAAGCGAAGGAACCAAAGCCGTAACAAAGTACACATCGAGCAGCAAATAAAGGCCCGCCGAGCACTCTTCATTTAAGCTTTTCCTTTGAGGACAAGAGACTGCCTTGTTGGTTCGTGTGTCATTTGTTAGCTTCGTTCTTGTATAAACTCGACAGGACATTACATTGAGATTTTTTATCTCATATCCAGTCCATTCAACTGACTTGCTGAGTTATTTCTCTGTAGAAAAAGTAAAGAATTTATGCATTATAGTGTTAAGTTTTGAATTGCCTACCTCGTGTTGTACATCGATAGAGAAATCTGACCGTGGGGAGGCTGCGATAAGTCTTTTACTTAATCTGTAAATAAGAAAGTGAGTAAATGATACGATATTTATGATGTAAATTAGTTGTTTTTAAGTTTACTTGAGTTTATAAAGATTATGTTTAGTAGCAATATTGTACATAGACGAATAAATGATTTTCAACACACGTTTTTGAGCGTTATTACACTGTGGAATTCGCAAAGCATGTATGAAGTGGGAAACCGCACAGAGCAGACAAGAGTTGCAGTGTACATTTTGTCAAGACACTGTGAAATGAGTTACCTTCACCAGAAATTGTCCACTATTAACCACGAATTGTTAGGCAACATTTCCGTACATCCTCGTACATTAAGCCTACTTTTCAATAGCGATGCCCACAAAAAAAAGATAATATATACTTTGCCCACGAATTAAACCGCCCAAACGCAAGGATAAGCAAAAACAAATGATAAGACAAATGATTGAGACTAAATCAAATATTTTCTTCTTGTACTCTTTTTACCACTTAGGTTATGGTTACACTACGTCGGATAGCTTTTGCGCCGCCACAAAAATCATACCGGATAGAGGTTCTGTTCATACATAAGGCGCGATTTCTATAATAACGGAGTGAAGCTGAGCCTCGCCTGTCTCGAAAGTGGAGAGTCACATATCGGATAGGTGTTCACACTAGCTATACCGAATAGCTTTTCGACTGTCCACTTAAAAGCTCGGCGCGGGGCAGCTTCGCTCCGTTAATAAATCGCGCCGAAATCAATGTTATTGTGTGTGAACTGAAGCTCTATCCGGTAAATACACTTTTCTCCACGAGAGATGCCCCTCTCGAAACTTCAGGGAGAATCGACAGACATTAGCCCCAGGAGTTTGGGTTTCTGGAATTGGTCGGTAATGCACTTCTTGGACAACCATACGGCCGCTGGGTACCGAGAAATCTCAGCACCAAGACTTGAGAATAATAAATCTACTGTAAATCCTCTATTAACCACCCCCGGGGGATTATTTATTTCAAACATTTGGGGGGGCGGGCTTAATAGAGACGGGGGGCTATTAGAGAGGGGGGGCTTATTTACGTTTGCGGAGATGGTGGTAGTATCAGCTCTCCATAAAAAGCTAGAATGCAAAGTGGAAGAGCTAAAGCACAAGAAAGTGTAGGTCATACAGCCCAGGATCAAAAACAAGTCCGAACTTCGAACAGGTAAATAAACCTTCGCGGATCAGTCCAAATAAAGTTTTACAGTCATGATTGATTTATGCAGTCTATCATTTATTAGTGAAGAATAATAAGATTGAGGGGAGGGTGGGGGGAGGCTTTAAAGAGAGGGTGGGCTTATTAACTTTCATCCCCTGAAAATGGGGAGGGGCTTGTGAGAGAGGGGGGCTTAATAGAGGATTTACGGGAGTTATAGATTACACGCGTTATTTGGGTGTCACTTTCTCTGAGAGGCGCCATATATTTTCCTACTGACGAGGTTTCACAACACAACTTAAAGAAGGAACGTTATATCGTATACATTTATTATAAAACTTTATAGTAAGAATGAACTACTGAGATTTTATTAATAAGGAAACTGCAATCTTCTCCTTCACAAAAAAATCTCATTCATACAGAAATCGGGTGCCAAAATCCTTACGAATCCGTGAAAACTCCTACAAGTCGCCGGTACTCATTCGTGATTGTCAGCGAGAGTTTAGATTCGATAGAATTACAATAGAACAAGCAGTTGACATACAATTAACGTTTGTGTTGAGCGTGTTAACCAATCAACTACAGCTACAAGAAAAAACTTGGGATCCTAAGACGCATGCCACGGTTTTCTTCGTTTATTCGCGTCTGCACTAGCAACTGCCTAACACTGACGTGTGCGAACAGATCTTGTGAACAGGTTTTCCTCGTTTCATAAACCGTTTTGCGGGCACGCCCGTCAAGTCTGGGCGGGAAGTAACTAAGACCTCTCGAACAGATATTCCGTGGAAATGATTCGTTTCGTGGTCCCACTTCTAAGGTCCTGTCTGATATGCCTTTGATATACCGTTGTGGAAAAAATGATTCTCGTAACGAGACTTAAATTAGGAAATTTCTGTTTCAAAAGGTCACACAAAATTTGCATCCGGGAAGAAAAACTGCTTTTGTCTTTTTTTCAAAAAATAAAAAAAACAATCTTTGACTTTAACTTGCCTGTTCAGTAAGGGTACAGATAAAGCCCAGCCAGCGGCAAAGTCAGGAAAAGAGAACTGAGAAGGATCCTGATGAAAAGCAAAGTGATGGATGATCACTGGCTGTTGGTCCTGAATTGCATGCCCAATAAACAACTCCTGTCAAAAAGACGACAGTAAATTACTCAATTCAATTATTTGATAGGATAATTATGTCTATTTAAAAAGGTAAACAGTGTTATTTGGAGTGGCTCCGTGCATTTAACCGAAAAACAGGATGGCTGCTTTATGCCCCTGTAAACTAACGCGAACTTTCCAAAGGATTTGCAGACAGATTTCCGAAATTTTAACCACAACAATTTTTGACTGGCGAAAAAGAAAACCTTGCGCACCCTTCTCTACCAATTAGAAGCAAGACCACAACCCTTTCATCTGTTTCTGCGAGTTTTCCCACACACGGCAAGCTCTGCACGCATGTTTGAAACACTCTCTAGCATTTGTGATTAGGTTCCTGGACTTTGATTGGCTATGAACGCCTCTTGGGAATGAGTCTGTCACCTCAATGCATTATTTGTCAGTCAATGGCGCATCCTCGAGATTTTTTCCTTCACCCTAAAAAACTGGCTCCTGCTAGGAAGGCTAGTGATTGACTAGAATTACTAGTTTTGCTTACGGCTGACTGAACATAATTATTCATATATTTTTGTACTAGTTACAAGGTCTTGATTGTATCAATGGAATTAATTGCTGGACCATAAACCGTACAATCCTATAACTTTTACCATTGATACATACCATATTTTTCCATTATTCTAACAAGTATAAAATCTAACTGTTAAGGGCTTTTAAAATTAGAAAATCAACTATTTTATTTATGCTATTTCCATCTCTGGTATTTTAAGGACTGAATCCTGTAATAGACAATTTTAAAGTTGTAGGCTTAGTATCCTAGCTTTTGAGTGAATGTGAGGCTGGCATTGACCTTGTTTTGATCCAAACCTCTTTCCTTTTGTTATGGAGATTATGCTTGAAAAATGCCATTTAGCACAAGAAAAACATGAGTTCCATAGTAGAGCAGGAAGGGTTTTATCAAAACAAGGTCAACTCCAGCCTCATTTCCACCTGTAACTGTAAAATGGGCTAATTTGGTACAAGAAGGCCTTTTTGCTCCCGCTGCAAAGGGCTACTTGTTATCGTCAGTGTCTGTATCTACTGCTGTAGGAGATGGAGGAGATGGGAAAAATTAACTAATAATCAGGTATCGTTTTCAGCCACCTTTCTTGCATCATGTTTCCTTAAAACTTGCACCAGCCCAAAAAGGTTGATAATGGTTTCTTCCTCGCAAAAAAATATCCACCGCTTGTTGTCTCCATAATCCTCAGCCAAACTGGAATATAATTGAAATAATACTAGTAACAAAGCAATAAATCATTTTTCATAAATATAATGACAATACAGGGGTGCCAACTTACTAGAGCAGTGACCTTATTCAAATGAGAGGTGCCCACATACTATAAACATAAACAGACCATACCCTCTTTTTCCAGCACAATGAATGCACACCATTTTTGATGACAGACAGATTGGTGCTATGCTCACCATAAATGATGATAATTTTTCAAGTTAATCGGACACCTATGTTATGTGCACAGGTTTCTGCTATTGAAAGGGGGTAAACACTGAAAGTCAGTAATTTCAACACTCCAACATAAGTCACCTTCACCTCTCACAAAATCAGGAGGAAAGTGAGTAAGTCTGCCCGAAGACACTGCTTTTGACAGAGGAACTACTTTGCACATTCATCTCTTTCTACCGACTTGCAGTGTTTGCCCCCCAGTGATTCCAGAATCATCCTGTGTGCAGAGCATAGGTCTCAGATTACTAGAATATCATGCATTGACTGTACCTGTTTATGATTGGAATAATCGTCCATGCTCCAAGAGGAGCCCAGTCTTCATGCATCATCTTTAGTTCTAAATTATCCTAACAAAAGTGACCACAAAAAGCAATTGTATTTTTTCCCATAAAGCCATCAACCTGACATCCTCAACTGCTTACACATTACCAGCCTTGAGATGATGGACGCCATCAATTACTTGACAGTGATTTTCTTTGTTGGCAAATTACAGGAAAAGGTACCCCTTTCATATACCTTTAATGGTACCTCCTTTATGTACCTTGCATTCTTTTTAACTGCTGTAAATGCGCTGTCTTTTAATATGAATAAATCACAAACCAGAACGTTTTTTCAACTTTTTCACATCAATAAAATGCATCTGTTAGCCCTTTGGGCCTTTTCACAGACCAAGATGACAGATTTCCCCACCCTTTTATATACTTCAACTAGTGAAATCCCCACCCTGAAGCCTGACAGAGGTACCCCTTTCGGGCGGAGCCTCCTCGTTTTGGCCATTATAGGAAGTACTCCCCTCCTGGGTCTGCAGGCCAGCACTCTACTGGCTGAGCTACATTGTCATACCTTTTCTCCCATTGCTTCTGCCTGTTGAGTCAGGTCATCCCTCATTGTTTTTGCTTTTTTGACATGATATCCATTGTGTTGGCTTCTCACAATAATAACAATGTCTTTCAAGGCTGCAGAAAACATAGGAAGGAAATAACAAAACAAAGAGATGCAGGAAAAGATAAATCCCAGCTCAATGATTTCTGTCTTAGATTCCTTTTAGGCTTGACATATTATCAGAGTAGAATAGAGGAATAAACCTAGCTGGGTATTTACCCACTGAAGGGACATCTGTCTCATTTTCTACTTTGGAATCCTAAGAAAAATAATAAGTTAGTACAAAACTGCATACTTTGCATGTTTAGGATCAGAGCACATAATGTTATGACTTTTTATAAGCAGATTTGTGAGGGCCTGTTAGGGTAAAATTCTGATAAGCTACATGGCCTTGAAATAGCAACATAAGTCCAGATGAAAAGGGCAACAGATGACACAAAGATGGGTTGAAACTGCGACAGCAACAGAGAAAAGTGCAAATACAATAGTAAAATATCAAAAGGGACATGGCTTCCTGCTCAATACGCGAAACGACGGGTTTCAAAATTCAGTCTAGGGACATAAGTAACCCCCCCCCCCCGCCCCCAAGAGGGCCTAATTAGCCTAAGATGGGGCATGGGAAATAATGAATAGGAAAGGTCCACACCTGGTTATTTTGGTTGGTTTTAAAACCAATCATATTCCTCAACATTTTACCACTAAGTTGCTTTTACAGTATGACTACTATAACTTATTAATAACTGGGGTCACCTAGACAAAGTTGACCAGTCGTATTACAGGAAAATAACAATACATTCCGAGAAGGTTAGTTGTCCATCAAAATTGAAGTAAACAACATGGATGAAAATCAACCAATTGCAACATACAGACATTCTGTTTTGAACTCGCTGAAGAAAACCAGTCCTGTGTTTTTTGAGAGGTCTGTTAGAGTAAAATGAAGCAGACAAAAAATGTAAACACTGTTACATTTTTGTTTTTGAGATCATGATGTTATTGCAAAGTGAGGCAATGTTAGCGAAGAAATAAAGGCTTGTGTCAATGTAAGGTTGCGAACATTGTCTGATGAAACATTTTGCTTTCTTGAAAAACATTTGCTATCAATATTTGAATTTTGTGCTTCAAGTAACATTCTTGTCTTTTTACAAGCTGCTGATTGGCCCACAACCGACTTTCTTAGAATGTATATTTATTTTCCTATAAATTTCTCACTGGTCAACTTTGTCCAAGTGGCCCTAGTTACAATAGTCCCACTCTAAAAATATAATGAGGCGGAGATTTGCATCAGTTGAATAATAACATAGGTCAATAAATAATTCAGGATGATTCAATGTCTCAATAACCTTAGTTAATTAATTATATTATATATGGTTGACTCAAACTAAAATATTGTTATCAAATGCAATACAGGTATTCTCATTTTTTAATACGCTATTTCACTGAATTAAAAAAATTGAAAGTTTATAGTAAAATCTATGTGGCATATCTTATTACACGTCAGCACTGTATAGTATCATGGACCGTGGTTTATTGGGAGCCTGGGCTTAGCATATAAAAAGAGTTTTTTATGATATACATAATCTTGGTGACACGACTAAGCTATTGAAGGTGAAGATCTGAAGTGAAAGACACTCTTGTCTGTGAAAATCAGGTAGGTTATTGTATTTGCACTGGTGATTTAGGTGTTCTTCTATATTAGTACTAGTAATCGACTTTGAACCAGCCCAATATTTTTAAAAGGCCAGACAATAAAAGACTCGAATGCATAAGTAATCACGATCCCAGATGAACAATGGTAGCGTGTGGTGAATAAAAACAAAATTTTTGCGCAAGAATGAGAAAAAAATATAGAGATGATCTCAGAAGCAATGATATTTAGTCTTGATCATTTATAGATTTTTTTTAATAGGCCATACCACTAGAGCGCCAAATTCGAATCTCGACTGGGCAGCGTCTGGACCAAAATCCGCGAAATCGTTCGCATGGATTGGTACTAAAATATGACAAAACGTTCATATTAAGCAATGTTAAGGATATAAGGAATGCATTTTACATGAAGATAAAGTGACCCGCACTTACCAAGAAAAAGAAATGAACAGATCAGCTGAAAAGCACATCTCATTTTGCGAGAAAACTGCTTGAATGAACTGACGAGAGGGGACTGGAAACAGTGTTTTGTATTGTTACGGTATCGCGGGCTCAAGAGAATCCAAGATGGCTGACATGGAGGAAGATGAGGACATAAGAGTCTTGGTATTAAAATATAAAAAATAGTCTTGTTATTAGCTTTTTCGTAGCCCAAAATGACTTAATAATATTATTAGTAAATTTATTTTATATCTTACCTACACAGAGGCTAGAATTTGAGTGGTTGCTGAGAGAACATGTGCCTAAAGTCTTGGCTCAGCTTGGTTCCATACTGCAGGTATTGTTATTCCTTCCTCCTTCATATTGTAATTGGATTATATAGCCTTAAAGCTTTACTAGAATTATTTTACTTTAATCAGGTAAGATGGAGAGAGTCACTGGCACGGTATTCAATTTTGTGGTCAGAAATGTGAACAAGGATTGTTTCACAGTTATGATATAAGTAGCAGCTACATGCAAAAGAATGCAGAAACTAATTGAATCAAGAAAACATTACCATCCTTCCCTTCCTCCAACAAAGAGATAGAAAAGAAAAGAGAACTTTAAGTACCACAGTTCCCGTTGAGTTTTATTTCTACATTTGTTTGGTCCTTTTGTTTTTGTTTTTTTTTTTCTTGCTTACATTTTGAGATTTTTCAAGCTAAAACGTATTTTTTAACAAGTGTGGTAAAAGGCAAAAACATCAAAGGCTTAACTACATAAATTTTCTAGGTATATTTGTTGGGGTGGCTTGGTGGCTCGTAAGTCCTGGCTGACGAGTAACTGAGCCGTGGAGCCACTTATAAAATATATACCTTTCTCGTTGACTGACAAGCTATCAGGCCACCGAGCCACAAAAATATATATCTTTACTTGCTCTTTAAATTTGATACTTTCATCTCTTTTTTTTTTGTCTGTCGTATACTTATGTCTTAAACATGTATCTTTCTTGTTCTTTAAACACTTGTCATAACTAGCGAGCCACCGGGCCACTTCTGTTTAAGACCTTAAAATATGGCCCTGTATAATATATGCTGTACAATATATGCTTGGTCAAATCAACTGAAATGGATTACCTTAATTACGTAATTAAGCTTCACATGAAATTTAAAGAATTATGTAGTTAATTTGTCAGTCAATTCTGATATTTTATGGCCTTTACTTATTGTCATATTTCAAAGGAATGTTCCAAATGCTTAAAACTCTCAAGCATACCACCAAAAGGACCCACAGGAGAAATTCAAGGTAGAGAGAATTTGATGGAACAGCTTATTATCTTACTCAATGGGATATTGACTGATTGTTGTTGAAAATACTCAAGTGGTAAAATATTTTAGCTCAGCAAGAAATTGAAGGGATGGGTGGGATAAGTAGAGTGCAAAACAGCCTGTATTTTTGGCTAGTTCAAGAACGTGAGCCGTCAAATGAAAGGTCCAGGGCAAGGGTAAAAACGAGGATCGAGACTGGGTAGAGATGGGCCAGAGAGACTTGTGCACTTCATAGAAGAATCTTTCATACCCGCACTTCATTTGTGCATTCTGAACCAATTGTGCGTGGAAAAGATGTATGATTTGCAGTCTATGGAATGAGGCCCTAAGTAAGTCTTTTGGTCTGTTAAATTCTACCTTTTTAAGAAAATGTAATGCAATTTAGAAGGAAAAATAAGCAGTTTATCAAATTTCACTGGGAAACTTCAATTTTTTTAAATTCATAATAATTTTTTTGTCTCTATACACTGCAAGCAGAGGTTTCTCTTTTGCATGGCTTTTAGTGATTACAAAGTCGTTTGCATGGCTTAGCTTGACTGTCACGTGCCAGCTATGTGACAGAAAAGCCACGCAAACGACTTCATTAACCCTAAAAGCCATGTAAGAGAAAAACCTCTGCTCGCAGAATATTGCCTCTATAAAATATTTCCCATTCATCCATTTGTGTTTTTTTCCTAGGCATTTGTATTTATAGGGAGTATACATTACAGTCATTTCAAATGAAATGTGTGTTACAAGTATTTGATAAAATATTTAATGACATTATTCGGTTATATGTTATGTTATTTGACTGACAATTAAGGGGAAATAAAGACTCAAGATTACTTCATGCTGTCCACACCAAAGTAAGTTGAACAATTTACATAAAAAATTATAGATTTTAAAAGGAAGGTTAAGGTGCAGATGAGCCAAGGAGGTTCACATAACCAAAACCATGAGAGACCAATATTTATTTTCTGTTAACAATACATAATCAAAAGAAAAGATAACGAGAGTTAATAAAATGATCAGCTAAGGGAAAGTGCTGTGATCTTAAAACAAATTCTCTTAACTATTCTTAAAAGAAATGTGAGGAGATTAGTCGGGAGAATTTGTGTGTGGATTTTGGGGTTTAAAGAGTTAACCTTAAACCAGTTTCTGAAGCATGGAGTACCAAAGAGTATTGCCCCTTCTCCAGAGATGGGACCTGATCGAAGCAAGGCCATCAGCCCAGCAGTCTGTCCCAAGTATCCATTTACAGAGATATAGTCGAGCAAGGAATTTAAATGCCAAAGACAGTGCTCGATTCACATGATTATTTGAATTTATTACAGTAACTACTTGTTCTATTTTGTATTACAGTAGTGACATGCTGAAAGGCTATGTTGCTGTTGAAGGGGAAAATATTTCAAAAGCTGTGAGTAAACTGCCAAAATATTAAATAATGGTATTAGCATAGGTAATAGCATGATTAGTAGTGATATTTGGCATAAATACCATAGGTGATATTTTATTTGTTATACGTAATTTCATGAGCCGTTAGGCGAGTGAAATTTGAGACAATTTTGAAATATCACGAGTGGTATTTATGCCAAATATCACGTACAAGGATTTGTGCTCTGTTTCACAGACAGACTTATCTAGAGTTTAGTTTCATGTGTGGCACAGACTAACTTACCATAGCCTGCATGGCAGGCTATCCCCTATCCCCTATCCCCTATCCCCTACCCCTTTCGACGCCTGCTACGCAATCCCCCTCCCCTTTTTCCCTTCCTCCCTATCCCCTATCCCCTACCCCTTTCGACGCCTGCTACGCAGGCTAAACTTACCAATACTACCCTCAAGCTTGACAAACAGTTTACTACTGGTGTAGCTCCGTTATTCCTCCTAGGATACAGCAAAGTAGACTTTTTAGTCATCTCCAATGTGTAAGCAACTGAGTAATGTAACATGCAACGTTTTAAACTTAATTGTGACTGTGTTCCCATAGTTTAAAGCTCTTCTTAAACAAAAAAGAAAATAGTCTATTGAGACATTTAAATTTTGGTGTTTCATCATCTTCATTTTTCTTTGTCTTTTTCCATCCACACTGTCAGGACCTCAAATTCAAACTCCCCAAAGTTTCTAGTTCTGGATTTCGTGTATTTGTAAGAGAACGATTACCATGGAAGTTAAAACAGGTGACAAAAAAACCCTTTTGCTGTTTATAATAGTAGCAATAATAATAATAATAATAATAATAATAATAATAATAATGTGATTAATAAATATCCAAACTCAAGTGCAATTTCCTGGATAAGAGCTTAAGTATCTTTATCATCGTCACTCTACAATACTATGCTTGAGAGGCTAAAGATCCAGAAGGTGACAGCTAGACTTTGTTGACTCAGATGTACAGATCGAAAACATTAGGGCCTGCCCAAATTAATCTTTCTTTTTTTAGAAACATTTGAAAGAAACTTTTTAAAGGTAGAGGCTGATAGACATAATGGATGGTTTTGTCATGCACATGTTTTACAACGAATTTATAATATATATTTTTCAACTAACTCCTATGCTTTTAGTTTTGAGAATTTCATGCATGTATATGGCAAGGAACTATAATATTACCCTACTGCATTTTTTCTTCGTTTTTGTGTATAAATATCCAAACATTTTAGTGTACCATCTAACTTTGTTTTACGGTTGCAAATTTATACATTTAGATCCAGGATGCTATTAACTACTTACAACTTGCTATTGATAAAGTTCAAGAAACTAAAGCAAATTGTAATTTCTCTTCTGGACAAGAAATTGGCAAGGTATTTTAATATTTAATATGTCATATGTTTGAACTGTGTTTGATGTGAAAGAAAGACAGGGGAAAGTAATGCGATAACCTTCAATGAATTATGTTATTTTAAAAATTTTAACAGTTTGTTAGGCCCTAATCCCTTCTACAAATTATTGGTGGAAAATCCTCGTAAAATGTTTCTTTCTGGGTTTCTTTTGGTTGATTCTCATCTATGTGATTTTCTAATTTATTTTATTTACATTAAATATCAGCAGTAGTTTCTTTTTCCCAAATAATTTGTATTTGGTTATAGTTCATAGGTATTATTCACAAAATCATTTACCAGTTCTTAATATTGTTGTTTTCTTTATGACAGGTTGTAGATGAAATAACAAGTTTTTTGACCAAGGGAAAAACAAGGCTGTCTTTGCCTGAGAGGACACCTGTTTTAGATATGTTAACATCTGGAGACCAAGTAAATGTTACTTGTTTTTTGGCAGTGCTAACGGTGACAGAAGAATGGAAGCCCAAACATAACGGGGGGTGGGAAAAGGATTGTTAGGAAAGAGAGAGGAATTTTTTGACTGCACTAAGTCTGAAACATTGATGGAGAGTGTCTTTGTTTATTGTCAAAAATAGACTTCTATTCAGACTCACAAGAGAATAGTATCTCTCCCTAAGATTTCAAGTTGCAGGGCATAAAGAATTAGTAGGCAGTCAGCTGAGTAGCTTCAACCAGTTGCAAAAGTACTTGAGACACTGTTTCGTATTTTGGCATAAATGGCCTGTCCATGTTCTTGTGCTTGTGATCCCCCCTCCACCCCTTATCAAAGTTGCTAGCAATACAAGACTATGCTCAAAACTTGGAGGAACAACTTTGAATGGGAGGGAGGAGGGAGGTCAGTATTATATCTCACAGACTTGTGACCAGCAGGGATTTGAAGCAAGAAAGGTCGTTTTTTCGTGGGAGTGTCTCAACACTTTTGCAACTGGTTGTAGGAACTTCTTTTAGTGCTATTTCCTGGCAATTGTAGATTGAAACTAATGTGATGATGTCAGCATGTTTCCCCAAAATAAATTGATCTTCACACTCTTGGCACATTACACTTGTATCTACTAGATTATAATTTATTTAACCCTTTCAGCGGGTGTTCAAGCCTGGTATGCCAGATGATGTGGTCGCATATTTCTGTCTCAATGGCGACAAACTCGTTCTGTCAGTCTACACCTTAACAACCCTCCCTGTACCACCTCAAAATAGTGTAAGTTTATTTCAACATAGTTATTGTAAAGTTGTATTGAAATGAAAAACAAAAGTGTGCCAACTCCACATGAACAGGAGCCAAAATTAAAAAGACATCCTAAGCTACAGTAGGATATCTCTTAAGATTATGCTTTCGTACTATACAATGGCCCTGGTGTTTGTTTTGAGACAATACTTGAGGTACATCTATAAACTTTGTGAATCCAGCACCTGGCTTGCAAAGGTTCAACATTTTCCCCTTACAATGTTTCTTGCTTTTGACATAGCACTAATCATAGCAATGTTCAGGGTTTATGTCACTTAAACCCTTCTATAGCAAATTCTCTGCAACTGTGTGGAGTTGTTGTATGTTAGTACTGGAGGAGTTGCAGCTGAAAGGAAACTGATACCTTAACACCAGACCCAAGTTCCGGAGAAAGCAAACCTTGCCTTATTTTCGACCCAACTGGTTAAAATCTCTACTTTATTTTTAGAAAATTTTAAACACTTTGTTAAGAAATTGCCTTCTCTAGATTTAATGCATTGTAATTTTTTTAGTACTTTTGCTGGTTTTTAATTCCTTTTTTAGCTTTTATGGTTTTAATTCTTAATTATGTAAAACTGAAATAGTTTTTATTACTCTTTAATTTTTCACACAACCACATCAGTGTTGCTCTAATCTTATCGTGTATACATAAAATGCTTTACTTTTTTTAAATTACTTATTTACTTACTTCCTTTCTCATCACAACTTTCTTTTGTAGTAGTAATTATTTTATTTAGATGTCAAATTTCAGGTGTTTGTTTACTCTTTAGAAACCTCCCCAGGATAATGACCCTGTTGGACAAACATTGTGAGTAATTTCAACGATAATCTTTTACAATCTTGTGTAATATTTAATAGTAAAAATTTGTATTGAAATCTATCCTTTTCACTGTTCATGCACATTTATCTGATGTGCAAGGGCTTCATTTTCAAGGTTGTAGGGATTGTTATTTTTGTTCACTGAAATGTGTTCTTCTTAAAATATAGCTTAAGGGGAAAAGAAAAACAATTTTGTAGTAGTAGCTCTGCCAAGCCAAACTTTGGCCTGAGTCACATTGTTATTAAGTAGTATTATAGTTTCAACCACCAGCCCTCATCAACAGTGCATCTCTATGATACTTCTTTCCTCAGGATCTTGTAAAAGTACCCTGTGAACTAACTGCATTCCAGGGGTCTTTTAACATCTCTAGGCGTTGGAAAGAAGAGAGACCCTGGGAACAAGTTTTTTTTTTTTTTTTTGAAGTTTAAAATTTTTTTAATAACAACAAAAGATAAAACTACGTATCTTATGTTACAATAAAACGGAAGATAAAAAACTATGATAAAAATATCTACATATATATATATAATTATATATATATATTAAAAAAGTATGTCATTACAATAAATGGAGCTTAAAAATCAACCTATTTACAAAGGAGTTCATAAAACGCTGTGTATTAATTTTCGGACGCGCGCAGCCTTTTGTCGTAGGATTGTGTACACAAGTCTTCTGGACAGGAATGATATCTTTCAGGGGGTGGCAATCGGTTGATATTCATTTCTTTAAATGTTTCGGTCTTGTTTATTTAAAAGATCCTTGATAGAAACTGGAAATGAAATAAAACGGCGTTTATGGCATCGGTCTAAAAGATTTTGTATAACCGTGAGATCGGACTCCGATGCCCCATAGACTGAAAGCGCATAGCTAAAATTAGGTAAAACAATAGATATAAAAAGGTGATCTATCTCTGCCTGAGAGTAGTGTTCTGTTCTTAGTGTTCGTAGGACGTGTAAACACTTGTTTGCTTTGACAAGCTTGGTTCTTACATGCTCATTAAATTTCCCGTTACTCTGTAGAGTTACTCCTAGTAAAACGAAGCTATTACATTGAGGAATATTGTTAATTGGAGAGTAGAGTACATTGTGATTTTTCTTTCTAACAACAAGTTTGCATGTAAACAGGGCACCCAGTTAAGATTGAGTAAGCGAATCAGGCCTCCTTCATCCTTCGCACTTCTTATAATACTTGCAACTTCTCACCTTTTTGTGCTATGCCTATAAGGACTGTTTACATGCTTTGGAAAAGTGACCATCCACTTCAACCGCCATCACTATGCGCTTGACTTTATAACCGCGATTATTTTTTTTCCTCATGCAGTGAGTTCAATGGGAAATGGATGGAAATCACAAGTCACTTCGAGGTAATTTTTGGAAACCAACTTTAGTGTTATCAACTGAATGAATGTTGTCTGAACACTTTTTTGCACAATAATGCACCAAAAGTCTTATTATACGCATTTCTATCAGTGTTCTAGGAAAAACTGTTCTGAGGTCTTCCGCCCATTGCTTAATACACCCATGAGACCAGAGGACTTTTTTATTAATATTTACCTGTATACTTTGCAACTAAAATTGTTACCACCTAAAACTCGCATGCTGCGCAACACGAGATGCGTTTCGGTTGAAAAAGCAAGTCGCGCGTGTAAACAGTCGGCACTTCCGGCGCGAGTTTTCGTAGCCAAATGGAGGCTAATTCGACGACCGTTTTGCAGTCTGCAACTCCATATTCCGCATAAAAAAATAAAAATTTCTATCTGCCATACTTGTTTACAAGCAGTTGCGTATGCTTATTGCTAAAGATGCTCTTCAAAAACATTTTTTCATAAAATCTCAGGCCGATTGCGGTGAAATTACCGCTCACGTCGCGCCACAAACCACGCCGCAAAATCGCCCTTGTAAACCGCCCTTAAACATTTTAACTTGCTTTCAACCACAGATAACCGCTTAAATGTGCAACGGCAAGTAATGGAGAAATGTATTAGCCTTCAATCGGTTTCAAATCTGCACAAGTTTAAATATTCTTCTCAGTAAAAAAAAAACCCTGATGTTACATATTGTCATTACTTACATTCAGCATAGCTAATCGAGGGTGGCCGGGGCAGTCTGGGAAGGAGAGAGGGAGAGGTAAAGTTTAGTATTGGTCACTTTAAGGTGTGAGGTTCTTAGGGGGACGATTTCGCTTCTTTTACTGGCTTTTACGAAGTTACACAGGTGTAACCGGTCAAGTCACCCGAAAGACATCTCTTCTGAAGTGTATGTCGCCCGAATGTTTCAGTTATGTCGCTCGAATTCTATCAGGTGTAGTATACAGAGAAACAAAGTTTAATAAAGAGTGCGTGTAATATATCTCGTTCTTTTAACCATCATGAGATAAAACAAGCGGGATAGATGTAAAACCTACCTCGTTCTTTAAGCGATGACGAGACGAAACAATCGGGATACTTGAAATACATCTCGCTCTTTAAGCTTTGATGAAACGACACAAGCGCGAGAAATGTGTAATAGGTATGTCAGAGTGTTGTTGAGCACGATAAAATTTTGGGCGACATATCTTCGGGCGACTTGAGCGTAAACCTACGAAAGGAACCTTGATCAACCTTGATCGTTTTTCCTCTTTTTGCCATAGGTTGATTGTTCAATTCCCAGATTAAGTGACTCTGTGCTGCTAATTGGAGCAGCATTACGGCTCTGCCAGCAATTAAAAGATAAGGTTTGGATCATTTCTTTGAATTATAACGCTAAAGTGAGATGCCGGTTCTCACTGATGCACGTGGAGATTTTGTGAAAGAAAATCACCTCTGGTTGACTTTGGTAAAGTGAATATGCAGAGATGTAGTTACTACTAAACTGCTGTTAGGATCTTTATCATCAAGAAATTAGACAGCTCAAACAACGGTGACAGCGACACCAAGGGCAACGAGACCGACAAAAAAGCAATACGTTTAGTGAGCAAAACGACAACTCAGCATGTGCTTCACACTTTTTAGTAAATTTCTTTGCCGTCTCTGCACCGCTACGAAGTGAAACTTCCTTGTTTCGTGTGGGAAGTGATGACGATTTTCGTTTTTTTTTTTCTTCCGCACGTGGGTACAGCCCGCAAGAATTTAGCCGGCGAAGGCAGACGTATCTCCGGTTGTCTCTTCACTGCCCCCAAGCGACAAACGGAAATACGTCTGAATGTTAGGCTATCAAGAATTGAACTCCAAAAACTAACAGCATGATTGCATTTTTAAGCGACGTTTTCGCTGGCGTCACCGCCGTTGCAAAAGTCCCTGATCATGTAGCTTGCGCAGTAAGCGTTTGCGCGCGAGTTCTTTGCTGATATTATGAAGAAAAGAAAAAAGTGGGGCCGTGGTTGTGATAAAATGATGTTGTTGACAGTGATGCTGATTCTGTTTTTTTCAACTCGTAATATTGAAGTTTAAAGAACTTAACCTGTTCCTAGTGTCCTACCTGAGCTGTTGCTTTTTTAAAAAGACAAAAAAATGTGTCACCTTGTAATACTAAACAAGGATCAGAGTCAATTTGCGCGCTCATGGTACCCCGCACCTCGCTCATTTCCAGTCGTTCCCGTTGATTCGCGCGTCTTTTAGAAAAATGCATGTTAACAGTGTTTAAGGTTGAAGAGGTTGAAGACTTTTTCATTGCTTTGGCCAAAACGACAACTTTTATTCCTTGCTAGTTTTGTTGCTGTTAGCTTAATAAGTTTAGTTTTGTTTGCTATCTTTTCCTTTTCAGTTTGCAGTGTTTTCCGTTCTTGGTTCAAGATGATTTAGGTAACTGGCAAAAGTTGTAAAGGCCTTCCGAAGAATTAAAAATTTTGAACAGCAAATGGACTATTTATTGCTGCATTAAATTAACAATACACTAATGAAGCATTAAAAAATGACTATTATTCCGCTAATCAACGTCCTGATGTTACACGGGAAAGTTATCGTTACCGTAGCCTAAATAGCGTGTAGTGCAGGAGTGATATATTCATTCAGGCGAACAAGCGTTTAGTATTTCTTGTATTTAGTCTCTGCCTGGAATTTGAAAAGAAGAGGTAGACTGGGGACAGTAGAAAGTGCGATCGTTGGGGTGGACTAGAGGGGTTTAGAAATTCTTGTCTGTCTACCTCGCCCCTTTTGCCAACCCTCTGTGTGGCGTTCGTCAAGCAAAGTTATAATGATTTCCTCCAGAAAAGATATGAATTGTAGACTATAGACAAAATATCCCAAAGCATTTTACAATACAATAGTTTTAGGAAGACTGTTTAATCACTTAATACCAAGATGCACCTTGGCTTTAGAGGCCAGTAACAATAACTCTAATTTTGTTTTTAAATAACAAACCTACCTGCATGAATAACGCGCAGTTAGCAAAGTGATAGAAAATTTGTGTAACATGATAGCTTCGACTATTAAAATGTAAGAATACAGTACAAGTTGCAAAAATACAAGGCTATTAGCTAACTAATAAAGAAAGCAATGCATTAATTTCCAAGGTTTTAACTTCCTTTTATTAGTTTTTGACTATTTAGATTATCTGGGATGAAAAAAACATCGCGTTTAGGGCTTCAGATCTCTTTTAAGGCGTGCGTCATTCGTCTCTGTCGTTGCACGTTTTTCGCTTTAATAGCAAAGTCTGGTACCCAAGGGTAAACGAGGTGATGAATCTTAAAATACACCCCAGCTTGTCTTGTTTGTTATAACCCGTCAAATTTTATTGTTATTTTACCGGTCTTGTAATTGACAGTAGGCGGGTTAGTCAATACAGTAGAGAGATTAGAGAGAGAAAGCAATCGCGTTTACGGCAAATGGCAAACGTGAGATTCAAGTTGAGAAATCTTTAAAATGAACAGTAAACGACAAGTAAAGGGGAAACTTGATCACGGGGTACAAATTCACGTTTGCCGTTTGCCGTAAATGCGATTCTTAATCTCTATTAAGAGTCACGTATACGGCAAACGTCATATTCGAGTTGAGTCTTTCTAAAAATAAGCAGATAAAAACTGTCGAGAACAATTCTTATGATAAAACTGGCAAGAGTTTACTTATTTTTGTGTAGAATTAATAAACAGTAAAAGACAATTAAGGTGAAAACTTGGTCACGTGGTACAAATCCATTTCTGGCGTAAACGTTCTCTTAAATAATCGATGACAATCGATATCAATCAGTACCAATCGATATTAATCTATCGATTGATATTGATAATCGATGACCAATCGATGGCGGAGATTCGTGTGGTTATCGATAGGTATCGATTTTCAATAACCATCGATAGATAAATTGATATCGATAAGTATCGATTGGTTGCCGATTGGTTGCACACTTTATTTTGATGCTTTGAAAGCTAACAGGAGAAAAATACTCTCTTCAACGCCCTGTCCACAGGTATCCGTTTTCCAGCGTGCGTGACGTCTGTTCGAGGTTGCTGTGCCAATCGATAGCATTCGATGAACGATTTTTGTGTGGTTATCGATTGATCATCGATTGGCCGATACCAATCGATACCAATTAACTAATTTTATCGATTGATCGATTGGTTTTCCGATCATCGATTTCCATCGATTGGATACACCGGGCTTATTTCTATTTCTATAATTATACTTGGCAAAGGTTGCCCATCGCGCCAAGGTAAATAAAAAATAATCAAAGAAAAAGAATCATTTAATAAAAAAGATAAAATCTGTTCGCGAACCGTACGTTTAGAAATGTGGAAAGTCTCTATCTTCCGGTAGAGGGTTTCAATCTTTGATCCGTATCGGGAAGAAACTGTTCGCGTAGATGCTGCCCTTGGAACTTGGATTTATAAAAGAGGCTTGAGATTTAGTGTGGTAAGTACTGGTTGGTACATTTAAGTGTGACGAGATAGGTAACACAGCACCGCGATGCACAGACTCATAAAAGAGCTCCAGACGCCGGCATTTATGTCTTGCTTCTAATGAAGGCCAGTAACTGAGTTACAGTCCCTTTCTCGCTTGTGTAACCGTTTTGAACAAAGCGAGCCGCCTGTCTTTGGATATTTTCCACAGTTTTTGTATCTTTACCTAGATGGGGATCCCACCAGCTAACGCGTATTCCAAGCGAGGACGAACCAGAGCCTGGTATGCTCTCTCTTTAACTGCCTGTGGGTAATTAGAGATGTTTCTTCACAAAAAGCCCAAAGAGCGATTTGCCTTACTGATAATTTTAGCTATGTGATAGTTCCACTTCAAATCAGATTGTAATTCGACTCCCAAGTAGCGGTGATGGTCTACCGACTCAAATTCTATCTCCTTTAGGGTATAATCTCTCTAATATCAAATGAGAACGCGAAAACGCGCGGAAAGTACGCTCAGTTTGCCACTTTGTCATAGTTCAATTAACTTGAAAGAAGTGCGATAAAGAAATAATGTTGAGAAATGCTTGCGTCGCTAATTAACTTCGTACTTCCAAAGCATCTCTCCCGCCTTCTGCCGATCACACCAAAGCCGCATTGGACTATGAAAACATCGTTGGAATCACTGGCTTGAAAGTATACAACTGTTCTCATGCCATTTAAGGTCTCTGAAAGGGACACGCGATGCGTGAACCTCGAAAATATTTGCCAAGTCATGGCAAGTTGATGTTAGGTGTACCCCAAGAATCGGTACTCGGCCCTTTGTTCTTTAATATTTTCGTTAATGATCTGCCAGCTCTTAAGAGTGCTTACAAACACGCAAACGCGAACGCAGAGGATTTCACACACCATTATGAACATCTAAAAATAAGAATGAACAAACAAATATGAACCCACGCTAAATTGTCCTCACAATGAGAGCCCTGAACTTAGCTAATTAATTATTCATACGGTAACAGTTGTAAGACGTTGTATGAGAATTACCCTATTTCTCCATAATTGAGTGATAGGTGCATCTGGGCGAAAAACTGTCGCTTGAAAAAAGGTATTAAACAGTGCCTAGGAGGTCTGAAATGTAGTCAGAACGCAAAGAAAAACAAGAAGACGCTAAAAGTAAGCGTTAAAATGATATTCAATGCACATTTTGCTAATTTAGTGAGCAAAGAATATTTCTCATAAAACGTCTTATAGTCTTGCTGTAAGAATAATTAATTAACTTATTAAAGTAGACTTGTTCTAGGGTCTTGGCATCCTAACTCAGGCTACGAGGCCTGAAACGCAGTCAACACACAAATAAACATAAGAAAATACAAAATGCAAGCTTAAAAGGAAAACATTAATGCACCTTTTGCTCAATTATGGAGAAACAGGATAATTCTAATACAACGTCTTATAACTGTTACCGTATGAATAATTAATTAGCTAATAGGATACCGTAAAATTTCGAAAATAAGCCCCCGGGCTTATATTTTTCAAAGACCCTTTTTGAGGGGCTTATTTTTAGAGGGGCTTATGGTAGCTCGATACAGTATTTTACAGTCAATACCTCCTAAGTTTGAGCATAAACTACGTGGCCATAAACAAAGATTTGGAAAAATTGCCACCACAATTGTATTAGATAAAGATGGAAAATTGTTATGATCAGGGTTGCAATGACACGGGAGTTGTCATAGCAACGAAATGATCCCATTACCGATTCTACTTGCAGCAGTATTTCTCGGCGCTGGGAACTGTTCTTTCAAAATCGTTCGGGGGAGCTTTTTCCTGCAATTGCCGCCACGATCTTCTTGAATTTTAAGCGAAATCTGTAAGAGCGTTATCGAGATATTTTGAGATGAAGTTTTTCTGGTTAGAAATACGGTAAAAAATGGACAGTCTTGATTTTTGACCGTTTTCTGTGGAAAACGAAGCGCTTTTGACATGCAATTTCGCCTCATGGTAGCTTAACTCTTTTTAGAAACATGTGTGAAAGATCATGGGGATACATTCAGCCGATTCAGGAGCTCCTGGCCGATTACAAGAAAGATGGATTTGATTAGTTTGTATCGAGGCGCTCTTGTTAGCAGTTTTGTAAACATTTCGGTCTACTTTAACAAATTGGCGAATAATTTTTAAACTGCTCGATAGATTTTTTTAAAAAAATAATTCGCTAATTTGTCAGTAAATTAAAAGTAGACCGAAATGTTTTTAAACCGCTAACAAGAGCGCCT